GACTCACCTTCTGTCAGCGACCATACAATGTACCAGCATGGCATACTGAAGTAAGATGGCTGCCGTGTATGGATGCTGGTGACTCTGCCTTGATTCATCTAGCCTTTCTGATATATATCTATGGTCATTAACTCTTGTGCAAAATCCCTGCAGTGGCAATACATTGAGTACTTCATTTAGTTCCTACTTTTGAGCTATTTTGTGGAGAAACAGCTTATGTTTGACCGCAGCACTTTAAAAAAAGTGCTGGCCCAGTTGCAAGGATCCCCTTGGGTCTTGATTTCAATCCTGTTCTCTGCAATCGTAATGAACTGAAAACCACCAAGGAAAAATATGTTATTCTTTTAGTTCCTAGCTCGTGATGGTCCTCTTTTTCTATTCAGTGAAGATGTTGCTTGTGTCAAAGTCCCAGTGATCTAAGAAAATGCTGGCCTTATGGCTGGGAATCTATCAAGGACCTGTCAAAAGTTCCTGGTATGTAAGGAAAGCACTGCAGTAAAATTGCAGAGGGGCTAACACTTGCAGAAATGGTTTCTAATTGAATTACACTCATGTAGGTTAATAAACAGTGACACAGCACCATGGGGCCATCCCTGGCTCTTGGTCTGGATCTTATTTTTAGTGGAAAGCAGCCTTTGTCAAAGTCCCAACACTTTTAGAAAGCTGGTCTTTTTGAAGAAACCATTTGGCAGCAAAAAGATGCCTTGATTTAAACCCCATCAGGTGGGCTCACACTGACTTTCTTTAGCCTTTCTTCAGTGTTAGGTTTTACTACGCACTCACTATGTTAAGGGTCGGTTTCGACCCGTGTCTTAAATCAGCTGTAAATTACAATAAAAACAATTCTCTATCATACAATTCAGTTCTCATCTGTAGGTTACCTTGTTAGGCTTGATTATCTATGAAAATATTGCATGTAATATTTTTTGTAGTGGGCCTCTGGGCCTTTATTTCTCAGTAAACCCCTCATACAGAAATTTATACTGAATTGATGTTACATGTCTGGACATGCCCAACGTTGTTTTTTGTGCAGGGAAAAACCAGGAAAAATTTGAATTTCCTAAAATGCTGACTGTCAGTGCACTTATGATTTCAGTTTTTGCTCTAATTATTAGAAACCCTAACCCTAATACGACAAGTGTCATAATTTTAATAAGAGCATTTTATAATTTAGTCAATTTATTAATTTGTTTATTTTTGTTGAAATAGAGGTTCCTGACAAAGTCAAAAAGTCTTGATGCAAAAGAGCTAATTCAAGTGGTTCTTTTAAGCATTTAAAATCAAAAACGGGTCAGTGCAGACCCTGACACAGGAGGAGGGTTAAGTCCTCAGAGACTATTTTGCAGTAGAGATGTATCTATTTATGTTCTTTGTTTGTGAAGAAAAAGTTGGGTTTTTTTTGTGCTGTCCATCAAACCCTGTCCCTTTTTTTTGAGGGACCATTGGGACTACAAATGAAAGGCATTTTCCAAGGATGCATGACAGAAATGGTGCTGCCCAAAACTTCAGTGAGAGCCCTGCATAGACTGATGCAATAGAACTCCTTCTGAACCCTGCTGTTGAGTTATAAAGTTACCATGAGTCACTGATCCCTCTGAGGAGTCTGAGATAAATCTGGCTTCTCTCCTGTAAAAACAAGGTTTTGTACCTCGTTGATCCATCATTGTGCTGAAACCAATAATGCCTCTTCTTCTTCTTCTATTATGATTTATGTGTTCATACAGTACAACAAAAAACATATTTTCTGACCTCCATTGATCATCAGGTCACGTAGTGGTCCACCGGTCGTTGACTGCTAACTGAGTATTTTCCCCTTCTCCCAGTTTTTTCACACCACACACGAAAAAAAGATAGATGTCATGCCAGTTCTTCTCCTTTGATTACCAGTGTTCACCTTGAGGCATTCAGCCGCTGATGAATGTTGAGACAAAAGAAATGAAATACTTTTCCAATTTTCTTTCCTCTGTGAACGACAAAACAATTACTCACTCTAGCGAGGGTTTGTGCCACTGTTCTGCGCCGTGTATAGTTTCTCACGCTGAAACAACGGTGGGAATGAACAAAAAAGTAGTTATTATTGATGATCATTTCTCCTTATATTCCATTCATGGCAGTGAAACAGCACCACGGATTGCAGAAGCTGAGCAGTCTGTGATTTCAAACCTTTTATTTGCATCACTCAATTATTTAAATCAAACTTGTTTCTGTTTATTTGTTTATTTGTTCAGTGCAGTTTTTATGCATGCATTATTTCCCTGAGAACAAATATTGTTCCCCAATCTGTGGCAAAGATATGGAAATACAAAACCCTATTTCTATATCGAAGCATTTGCCTTGTTTCTGTTCAAATGTGCCCTGAGGAAGAGAGCTCAGTAAGGGTTAGGGTATCATTTGACAACCTGTACTCCGTAAATTGGAGCTTGGTAGTATTACATTTGTTTGGAGGCAGAAAAAACAAATAGACCATGGGCTCTATTTTCGTGTCCGCCGGTGAGGTGGCGGACCCCGCGCAGTGGTGTTTTCATCTGGCGGAGCCCGACGTACAGCCAGTTTGGTATTTTCGTGGACTGAGGCGCACCGCAGTCCGCCAAGCTGGGCGTGGTGGCGAAGCAGGGGGAGGTGTCGACAGAATCAGCTGGCGCAGTGACATTTTCGTGCTTGCCGGTGGCATATAAAGTGCGCTGAAAGCTCGCTGAATCAAACCTGGTCAGCTTTCAGCTCAGGCGGAGCGCAGCTGGTCTAGTGTTATTTTGGTAGACCAGCTGCGTATCGGCATATGTCACCGATGCCCCACCGGCAGGTTTCCACAGTGTCAGGCACATTTCAGTGCAATAAATAATCATCAACAATTAGTTATCTGAGTCAGTACATACATGTAGATCTATATTGATATATTCTGATCTATATCTGAACTGATGAGCACGTTTGGCACGCGTTTGGACACACAACCTGACCGAATCAACACAGCTGCAACCGCATTAAATTAAATAAAATATCTAGTAAATAGACGACATGATGAAGTTAACAAGATATGTAATTCGTTTCCCTCCCTTTCTTTCTTCCTCTTCCTCTTATTTCTCGCGCAGCTCGACCTGGACATGTCTCCGTGTCCTCTCCTCGTCCTGCTGAACAGATGATTTGTTTCAGTGATCAGATGAGTTTTTTACTTTAAGCCTACATATGGCTTAAATATTATAATAATCAGTTTTGTGAGCCAAATTTATTTTATATGCCAACATCTACAAAAGAAAGAGCCAGGCCACGGAGCGCGATGCGTCATTTACACACAGATGGTTCTGATTTTACTACTACTTCTGACAGATGCTGTTTGTCTAAACAGAAAGTGATCATTTAACGATCTAGAAATCAAAACTCTGCACCAGTGATACCAGGGTAACATGAAACAGACCTCAGATTCCCCATAATTCAGCAGACATTGAATCAATAATTTAACTTTTAGTTTTAACATATTGATCCTAGATTTTGGTCATTACCAAAATAGGACAGGTAAATGGCAGATCTGTAGAAAAAAATCACCGGATTATTTGTCTTCGTTCTTGGGACCGCTGGTTCAGGACATATAAAGCAGCATTTTCCTGTGAACTGTGCTTCCAGAGAATCTCATCCAGTTTGGTTGACTGCCAGGATATAACAGCCGGACCAGCACTCACGGTCATAAGAGACGTAAGAGCACATTTAGCTGAGAAAATTAGACAGATGGGTCCAAAACGACCAAGCCAAGCCAAGGGACATCAAAAATGGAATAAAGCAATCCATGGATCCAGCAAATCCATCACTTGCTATGGATTTCAATCTGAGAATGTCAGCCTGTCAATCAATACACCCTATTCCTTTGGCAGCCAACTTCCTTTGACATCATACTCATCTTGTCAAACTCGTATGTTGTTGTCATGTATAATGTGTCCCGGCCTTAGGCTCATTTTTCATCTTGGCAGCTCTTAGACCGCAACTTCAGACTGTTCCCGGACTATGTAAGTTGGTCTGCCCTTCCTAGAAGTGACAACTGGGTCTGTTTTATCTTTATATTTACGTTCGTTCTTTGGCTCAGATCATTTGGCATAAATTATGTCATAGCATTAGTAGCGGCTACTTGACCTAAAATTGGACCTCAATAAAACTAGTTTGATCACTTTCTCTACCAGAAGTTCCACCTCTCTAGGATTCTGATTGGTTGATGGTCAAGAACTTACACTGATGAGTGCTGCAGTGTCCCAATGTTGAACCAATTAAAGCTAAGAGCACTCAGTACGTTTGAAAAATTTGATCTATTTCCTGTCGCAACTGAAAAGGCGTTAAATCATATTAAATCAAACTTCTAACATTCGGACTAACATGCCTGGTTAATGCGGTTGAGGACCTGTTTTCTCTTCGTGAACACAAATCAGAATAAAACAGGCCTAAACATTTGTACGCCAGACTCTGAGCTGGGAGTCGAACAGCATTGATGTGTTGCTAGAAAGCCAGGCAGTAAACAAAACCTTAAAAAGATGAACTTTCCTATCATACAATTAAATAGTAAAGAGTCATAAAAGTGTTGTTTTTATTGTTGGATGTAGGTCTAATTAGCCTCTTGCTTATGCATTTTGTTGATTGTTTTCTAACATTTCATCCATACAATAGTCATCATGCTTTTGCATAGTTTCTCTTTCCCGTTGTATACCTGCCAAGTATCCAATTGTCCCAGGATCCCTTCATATGTTCAATGTTGCTCCATGTAAACTCTCACGTTTCTTTAATCCTGTAGAAAAACTCTATATAGCCACAAAAACAAATCAAATGGTCCTTGGATGCACTTTGAATCAAGTTAAAGCCATTACAATCAACAGAAAGCAATGACTCATGGGACCACCAATCAGTCAGTTTTTATACAGGCTGTAAATCCTATCGAATCTCACTGATGCCAGAAGATGGTCACCATGTGAATACGGTCCATACAGCAATCCTTATCATATTAGAGACTCACCTCAAGCAACCCAATCCAGAGTTAGAAATCATCTCACAAAGTCCCAGCCTGGTCAATATGTGGTTTTATTCATGTGAAATACAATCCCACAGACATAGAAGAAGAACATCAGGTGGAGACGATGAACAGGTATCACATGGTCAATAAACATTTCTGCAAGATCCAAAGACAAGTATCAAAGTACAGTACAATGGAAATAGAACATTCAGTAGACTATCAACATTTTCTTACAGTATTTTCATCAGTAAAAAGAAAATAGATATCAGTTTTTACAGTTTGCTCTGCTGATGAAGAATAATCCTGTGAATCGTTTGGTTTAATGTTTATGCACAATGCCGAGTCTCGCAGAATAAGGCAACAAATCAAACTCTTATTAAACTTTATTTCCCATGAAAATGCTCCCCTGTTAATGAGATGATAGAAAACTAACCAGACAGCGTCATTTCTCAGTCAGTAAATACTCTATTCTTTCACAGTCTCTTCACAAAAATAGATCCATCTATGGAAAAGCAATGCACAAAGAAGATCTTAAACAGATGAACAATCATGGTGGTGAGTTGTCGCTCGTGTGCTCTGCAGCACATCTTAAAGTGCAGAAATGGGCCTTTTTCCCCCTGTTTATTTCTCTTTTCCGTGTGTTCCCAAGAGAGCTGACACTTTTGACAAATAGCCCGGGAGCATCAGATAATCGTTACCCTGCATGGTTCTGGGCGATAGGGTTGTCTACCTCTGTCGCGTGTGTAAAGCTGTGGCCCTGGTGTGAGATCCAGCTTTGAGGAGCTGCCAATACTGATCTAAAGAAGAGATATTTGGGAGATGGGAAATATTATGGTCAATATATTTCAGTTTTCTGGTTTTGAGGAGAATCTGAAGAGCTGTTTGAACCCTTTACCAAATACGTCTGAGTCGAAAATAAATAAAACTGTGAGCCTTTGATCTTTTTTAATCCAGTGACTCAAATCCTGATTTCATTTATGGGTCACTGAAGATGCTTTCACACCTGCAGCTTATTTTCTTTGTTCCCATCAATTTATTGCTTAAGCCTGACTAAAACTGGACTTGAAAATGGAATTTCCTGCAGTCAGACTAAAATACTTGGATAGTATGTTTTAGGATTTAGGAAGTACACGCCTAAATCAGACTCAAGCTGGCCTAAGATTTCTGCATATACTCCGAGCTAGGAAGAAGGGACCTGTTGGCTTCATGCTTACAATTTAGGCAATTGTTTTGATGTGTTAAGTAAGTGATCAACAGCAAAAGACATCGCCATACATAACATAATCATTAAATTCTAGCCAGGTTCTTGTAAACTGGGGTAATGGCAGTTGTCAAATTAAATCGCCTAATCTAGCTATGACTGTAGCTCAACTAAAGTGTGGCTGTACACCTGCTACTTTTTTTAATGCTAATTACGTCTACTGTTGCTGGATTCTGATGAGTTTTATTATGAATAAGTTATCCATGGTTTGATTGAAAATTTGTTACTTTTTCAAGGAAATCTCAACTGAATTTCTTTTTTTTTCTTTTATCAGAGGGCAACTGCTTAGGGTGACCATACGTCCTCTTTTACCCAGACATATTTTCTTTTTGGGGGCTGTCCGGCCTGTCCGGGGGGGAGTTTATAAAATGTGGGTTTTGTATGGAAGTTTTGAGTTTGTGTAGCGTGGACGGAGTGAGAAGTGCGTAAAAAACACTAGATCCGACCCGAAAAACCCTCAAAATTTTACACGTGACTCAACCCCTCTTCTTGGGGATTCAGGATATGGTCACCCTACAACTGCTGTTTTCAAATATGTCCAAACACAGGCTAAGGAGGAAAAAAGTCCCCCTTCCAGCTTTCTAAGCTTGCTTCCTTCATGATAAACTGCATGAGACTTGGAAATAGTCCCTTGATTATAAATATAAAGCAAAAATGTAAATGCCCTTTACCTGCTACTTTGCTAATGGTTTGGCAGGAGGGAAAAACTTCTATTGCAAAGAGTAGTGAATTTAATGCAACTTGATTGGAGAAATACTCTCTTGACAAGTTTATGACCTGGGCAAACCTGGTATGATGGGATCACTTGCAAGTTTTAAGTCCGTGTCAATGCAATCCTCTGCTTGATGCTTATTTAATGCATGAATTATTTGACATTGGGTGAATTCTGGGTAAAATACGACTTTAATCAGGATGTGAATTCCTGTGATTGACATACTGGTCTGATGACAACATTTATTTACAGATTCTACATAAAATCTGTCATCAAGGTTCATATTTTTGTCTTGGAATATCTCATGTTTCAGCCGACTTGGATAAAGAGTCCATGAGTAAATAGACACAAAAGCAGGTGAATACACTCTGCTTCAATGACATCTTGGCTCACGTAAACATTTTTTTTTTTTTTATCTCTATTGACAGAAATCTTCATGCAAGTATAACTCAACAATCTTTCAAGATTAAAAAAGTCAATTTAAACAGCAGATCAGCCCAATACAGCCCATCAGTGGTTAGATATAATAACATAATGGATCTAACTTTTACTCAAACATTTTGAGTTTTTTTTTTAGGCATGCATGATTTTGAAGTTTGGCAGGTCTAATGTGCTTTTTAGTGTGGGGAGCGCACTGTTTCTTTACTAATTTAATTTACCTGTAACTCATATTGTAACCATCTAATTATTGTAGAATCAGACATAAAACAGGGTAAGACCATTAGGTTCTGACCATAGACTGTATATACTATGGACAACTTGATTCCACCTTCTTCAGTATGCAGTTTTGAAGCCAAAAAGCTCTCAGTATTTCCGGGTTTTTTCTCCACTTCCTGACACCAACACTGTGCAGTAACGTTGTACACACTCCACCACTTGCGCAGTTGCATTGTACACATTCAGCGGAAGAGTCGCAGAGGGTCACTGTGATGACGCTTGGCTCAAATAGCGAGCCCCCTAATAACTTTTAAAAATGGAGCTGCACAGAAAAAAAGAGGACTTGAGCACAAACCAGTCTTACAGTAACTACATGTCAACAAGCAGGGGGGAGACAAATTTATAATCTGTGTAATTAATTTCTAAAGTTTGTCCACAGCTCTATAGGGATTGCTGGAGGAGGCGGGATTTATGACCTATACTGCAGCTGTCACCAGAGGATGCTGTTCTCACGGTGGCTTCATCTAGCGAAGAGGCAGACGGCGTCCATTCTATATTCAGTCTATGGTTCTGGCATACAAGTTTCAAATACAGAAATTCAGTGATGTGTCTGTTTCTAACACTTTTGAATACTTCCATTCAGTCAAGATGTGTAAATCACCACATGCACCTTTATCATGCAGATATTTAATTACACACTTTGGTGTTTACTTCCCGAGGACAGATCTGAAGAAAAGTTAGCACATTTATTGTGGTGGTATTTCTGCAAACTTGACATCAGAAGATGATGGACAATAATTTCCAGTGGCTGCAAGATGTTAACCACTGTTATCTAACAACCAGAACGGAAACGAAGCAGTGGTCCCACAGAAAACAAGATGCCAACAAAATGGTACTCAGGAAATCAAAAGATAACGTCACGTCGGTAACTTCCAGCTCTTACAAACATCCTAAAAATCAGACCCGGTTCTAAAGCTTTGGTTGAAGTTGGTTTCTATGTACAGAACACATGACAGACTTTCCACATGCATGCACAACAATCTAGACTACAGCCAATCAATTCCAGGTGGTGTCTCACAGACATTGATGTTTTATTGCAGTGGTTTTACACCATTTGGCCCTCACCAAACGTCAGCAGCTTTGGACAACCACTTTCCATTCATCTGTTTGATCTTTGTTTTTTACTGAATCACAGCGCTGTCCCCCCATTCAAACATCAGAGCCTGTCTGTCTTTAGTATTGCCAAACCCTTTGTTTTAAAAGTGCTAAAAACATTTCCTAACCTTGACAGTTGGTAGGTCCATTGGTGCTCACATTTTTGAAGATTCTCGTCCGTTTGAAGCTTTGTTTGATGTCTGCTTTACATACATTTATTGCTCAATAGCAACACATCCAGACAGAAACAACAGAAGACAAAAGAACAATCCTGCACATTTGTATCGACACTACTAACCCCACTGGTTTTAATGCATATTCTTTAAATGCTAAGTGGCACAAATGTTGAAGTTGTTTGCTCTTCGGTGGCAGTGACGGATAATCATCAGGCGCCTGGCGAGGTAAAAGATCCAAGGTTTAGCAATCCCAAAAGTAATTTCTACAAGCATGTACTAAAGCAGCCCTTCTTTGTCATGCATTAGTATGCTTTAATTTAGTTGAGATTTTTGTCACCCACCACAAATTGCTCACAGTTGTCATTCAGTAAGTGTAACACAGTCATTATGGTAAATACATTGATAAAACTTCAACAAATGTGTCGACGACTGTTTAAATCCATGCACTTCATGCATAGATGATGGCCTGCAGAGCCCCGCTGTGGAGACAAAAGGAGTGGAGTGTCTGCCGCACATCCAGCCTCTTCGCCTCAGCCTTTCAGACCTCCACACTCCCCCTCCAAAGAGCTGTTAACCCACCTCACCCTGCTCCATCCATCTCAGACCGGGTCCTGCAGCCTGCGAATGAGTGAAACTATTCCACACAATCACATGCACCACCTTGCAAACCCTTTTATCTGTCTCTTTACCAAGCTATTGTTATTCCCAAGTGGTTTCCGAACAATGTTGCACGTCACACAATATCTCCTCGACGCCGTGCACTCCGTACCTGGCGCATTGCATCAATTTCCAGCCTCAGGAATACATTTTCTTCAATGTCCCCATAGTATTTCAGACATTTCTTTCTACTTGTTTGGAATAAACTTCATATAACACTAGACGAATGCAAAAACTGGACAGTCACTACACTTCTCTCTATAGCTGCCACCGTACTGAATGCACACTGCTCAAATTCACATAGCTAATGGAAACTAACGAAGAGTGATATGTTTAGTCAGATGCTTGCACTGCTTTTCCCAGTGCAGGGGGTCCTTTTGTCCTTAGAAATCATTTTTAAGTCTTTGGAAATGTGACAAAGTCCTGCACATGTAGGGTCCTTAGAAACTCCAGGTGTTTGTGGGTCTTTGTCGGCCTGTTTTACAGCTGTGTGATTGTCTGTAAGGTTTGTTCACGAAGCTTTACCTGTGGAGTCATTTATCCGAACAGCAGCCTTTTGTTGTCGTTCAAGGCTGGGCACGCCACAGCTCCTATTTCATGCCACTTCTCAGCACCTGATTGGCTGCGATGAGCATGACGCTGATGATAAAAGCGATGGCAAAGGCGCATATCAGGCTCTTGCGCACGCATGTTTGCTTGACTTGCTGCGTGGGGCTGGAACCTGGAGGAAAAAGGAAGAAAAAGAAGGGAATAAAAAAGAGGAAGTGCCCGGAGGTCCATTGAATCAAGGCTTATTTCATGCTTGAAGGATATCTGATAGTAATTTCCCAATGACAGAGCTCATCACGAAACCATACAATTACAGGAACACAATTATAAGGAATGAACGCTGCCAAGAAGATTTGTTGTCACACCTGTACGCCGCATAACGGCGGTGAGATTGAAATGTTGATTGGAGTTTTGGAACAACAAACAAATGGGTTCACGGCTGACTGGCATACGAGAGGGCGCACATCACATCAGCAGCACTCACAGAAAAGGTGTGTGTACCTGCAGAGCTATCTGAAGGATAACATCGCGGCAGGTGAGGTAGAAAAATATGATCAAATATGAAGTCTGCTGAGTTGTTTCAGCTCAAATGGCAGAGATTTCTGAACATCTTAGGTTTGATTATGCTTTTGATTAACGTTCCTCCAGAGTTCATCCCTGTTCTCCAGGAAAAAAATCAGCGACTTTGTAAAGCAAGTGTTTCCCTACTAATAATAAGGAGACTTTGACCTGCCTCTTTCTCAGTCACGGATTCCCTGACACCATCTCTCTAGAAATCGTTGCTCTTTGTGCAGAGTTTGTGTAGGTGGATGGAAATTAAGCAATAGTAGAGTCATTTTTTCTCTCTCTGCAGAGTTACAGGGGAAATTGATATCTTTTGTTTTTGGTGCTGGATTCTGTTGCATGGTGATGAGACTATACTTCTCTAATATGCTTATAAAGATATGCTTGTCTGCTGCACATCTATCAATGTGAAAGTGATGGAGGTGCCACTTAACCTTATAGTGCCAGTCACTCATGCTGCACTTACCACCCATCAGGAAACAACAGGATGGATGGTAAGAGCAGCAGTGTGTTGCATGGAAAATAACACCAGTTTTAACCCTGGCCATGGATTGCTTTAACATCATAACTCAGTTGGAGGTATAGGAGTTTGTTTCTTACTGTCTATATCCACCTGGCAGTCCTCCGGGTTCTCTATGTGGTTCTCCTCAGTCATGATTATGTTCTCAATGTCCTTCATAGAGAGGTGATCGCAGAAGGTGTCATACAGCAGCCGCTTCAGCTCTTCGACCGTCAGCTTCTGCATGTCGCACTGGTGAAACAAATGCAGACTGTAACTCAAGGTCAGTGTGGAGGCAGGGAGGAGAAACACAACATCTATGAAGCCCACACACACCCTCAGCTTTAGACAGACAATAATGCATGCTTTAATGATGCTTAAATGAGTGTTGTGGAGTGAAGAGAGAGTGAGTAAAGACCTATAATCTATGCCACTATGGATACCCTTGCCCCCTGACAGTTCTTAGAAAGGCTGTAAAAAGGTGACCTTCATATTGGAAAGCAGACCACCTGTAGTATAGCAGAGTGACAGGGCGGACTCTTATCCCTGTGCTGGCTTTGTAGATGGAAATACACTGTCATGATTAGTTCTTGTTTGTTTAGTTTTCCTAGTTTCGTTATTTAGTTGTATCCTCTGTGTATTTATTATTTCTCTTGTTCCTGTTCCCCTGTGATTATTATTCTTATGTTCCTGTTATGTTTGTTGTCCCTACTCCTTGTGTGTCTGGTTCAGCTTGACTTCCTGTTTTATTTTGTAGGAGTTGATCCCTGTGTTTCAGGTGTAGTTTTAATTTCTGTGTTTTCCCTCCTTTGTGATTTTCTGCACCTGTGTCCCAGTGTCTCACCTGCTCCTTGTTAATCATTACCCTGTCTATTCAGTCCCTGTGGAGCCTACCCTCTTTGTTCTACCTATCTACCTTGTGTTTTTTCCCTCAGTGTTTTTGAGTCTTTAGATTTTTGTTTCTTGTATATTTTTCGTTTGAATTTTTAATGTAAGTTCTTGTTTTTCCTAGTTTAATCTTTAATTTAAAAAAATAATTTAAGTGCTGCACCACGGTCCGTCCTTTAGATTTTGTTTGAATCTGTGACATAAACATGAAAATAACAATGAAAACCCTTTTTTTGCCACTCACAGGATATTTATGTTATGATGTGTATCTTACCTCATAAAACATAGAGTGAAATGTTCAGTCAGTTTACAGCCCTCGACAGCAGTTTTCTTTCCCCTCTCTGCCTATGTGCAGGAAGTTGGCACTAAAACATTCTCTTTGTGCATGAGTTTGCAGATAATTAAATGCATTACTTTGGAAAATTAGATTTAATTTGTCAGTTTTAAATGAAGGTTATTGGCCATGTAAGGGCGGTCAGAGCCCATGTATGATGGCTGTTTAAAGACTTACTGTAAGGGGATGTTAGAATTTTTGTGTATATCTTTTACTCAAGTTAAACTCCAAAAAACGCTTTATGCACCTAATTTTAGTGCAAAGAAGTGGTCACTTTCTGTTCTTACCTTTTCAAATATCGCAGGCCACACAGGCTAACCACAATCTAAATTTGCAGCTTCATTCTTGTCAATTTGCGAATCTAAAAAAAGATTTTTTTTTTTTTTTTTGTAAAATAAGGTTGAGAAAAGTAAATTAAACTTGTCTCTGCAAGTTTCTAAAAGTCAGAAAAAAACGCTTCAGGTTTTGAGTGGACTTTCTTAGTTTCATCACCTCATGGAATTATGTAACTTTAAGATTTAATTCAATAAATTCATTAGAAAACTAAAACAGAGAGTCATGCTGCATGTTTAAAGATTCATTTGTGCCTGTTATTAGCTCAGCCTGAACTGAGCTCCACTTTGACCGTAGGCTCTGTGTGATCAATTCAACTGCATGTTTCATACATCAATCCAGGTATAATGCTATGTGAAGCCATGCAGCTTTTGCGTCAGTTCCTCGGGGGTTCCTGACTCTCCCAGCAGGTGTCTCTGCCTGTGATGCTTTTTTTTTTTTTTTTTTCTCCTGCACTGAGAATTCCCACAAATCCCCTTCAAACTCAATTTGGAGCCTCAGTCTCTTGACAGCCTCTGTGGTGCTGTTATCACCTAACTACAACAAAGGCGCTCGCTCCATCCCATTAACTTCATCCTTCAGACAACGTGAGCAGCTGATTATCTAATGAGGTGTCTGTAAATACATTAATATCTTTTTTTTCTTTTACATAAAAATTAGCTTTAATGTTTTAATAAGGCTGTCACTGCTCACAAAGAGGCCGAGATATCATACTGAGGACACTCTTCTTGAAGGGATCCTATTAATTCTCCAGTGGATGTGGCAATTAAAACTGGTCTGTAGTTTGGTGGTAAATTCTGATTTTCCCAAAGCTTGGTGCTTTAATTCAGCTGACTATATTCTCCCTAATAAGTAGGAAATAAGGGACTGAATTATGAGCACCTTCCAAAATACAGAGTCAAAGTCGGTGCCGTGGAACTTATCTGGCATCCCAGCTGCTGTCAGCTTCGGGCCCAGAAGAGTCACAAACTCCTCAAAGTCCACCTGGCCGTCGCCTGCAGGAAACAAGAGGACAGTTGGTGTTTAATGCCGCTGGTTTTACCGCCTGCTACTGTCTACTTTTGTGGGCAAATAGAGAGCAAATTGCTTCTGTGCTTTGGGGCGCAGGATGATGTAAAAATCCAAGCTGTGTGTTTGCCTCACCGTCCATGTCCAGTCTCTGGATGATGACCTCCAGCTCCACCTCGTTTGGCATGTAGCCCAGGGAGCGCATTGCCATCCCCAACTCCTGCTTTGAGATGAAGCCATTGCCATCGCGGTCAAACACTTTGAAGGCCTCTCGGATCTCTGCGTAAACACACAGACACACACATACGCTTGAGCAGGATATGGAAGTGGGAAAGGCTCCATCCAGCAAAGACACATTTGTTCTGCCGCATCAGTGCTTGAGTCATACTTATATGGGGGTTGGCAGCTCAGGAGAACAAATTCCACCAGGGAAATGATGAAAAACAGCCAGAATAAAATCAAATAGCCACGAACAAAGAGAACAGGAAAAATTGTCACATTTAAAAGCAGCCGTTCCTGCCTACCATGTATTTTAAATTTCATGGGGATTAATCAAACTAAGAAGTCAAACTCTTTAAGCTGCCAAATCCGAGGAGCTTTGATGCTAAAATAACCTGCGATGGTTTCTGCTGCCAGGCCAAGAGCGGTGAATTATAGAGGGCGCATTTCCTTGATTCCCTAAAGTCCTATCATTTCTTAGAAAGAACAATGAGGTGGAAAATCGTTGGAAAGACCATCACCCTGAACTTAAGGTGACTGTTGATATTAAGAATAACCGTGGGCATCAGGACCACCAGACACTGGAAGGGAAGTACAACCCACTCAAGCGATAGCTCAATGGTAGGTCATCAGGGCTAGCAAGGCCTTCTCTGCTGGCCTAAGCATACTCAGAAAAGTACATTTATTTATTTATTTTTTTCATAAATATTTAAATAAAATTGTTCTCTATTGTCTGTTCTCTTTATGTCATATTATATCCACATGGTTGAGCTGCTTCCAATGTTGTATATTATGATGAAATTTTTTTATCCAATCATATTTCAGCTAGCATGTGTTGTCAGGCGCTATGAAATCTGCCCAAGGCCTTCAGAATCAACACAACAGGCTCCCGTATGCTGTAAGTGAATGAACACAGTCAGCTGCAAATAACCAATCAGATCTCAAATCTGAGACACCAAGGCCAGCTAGAAGGTCTTACGCTGAACTGGACATGTACATGTCCTGTGATTGGATAAGCACTCATGAGAGCCTGAAAGGCCACAATTTGGAAATATTGAACTCAACCCAGAGATCCATTAGCTACCAACAGCTACTGCTGTATTTTGCTGTGTAGAAACACGACGGGAAAGACACAGCTTTCAGCATTAGCCTCCATGTCCTTAGAAAAGGACTTATTGATGGAACCGAAATGCACAGATAAATTGTACAACAGAGCCATTGAAGTCTTCTTGAGAAAAGAAAGGAGGATGGGTTTTATTTTCAAATAAGCTGGCGCTGTGGAGGAGATCCATATCGGTGTGTGCAAGCTTTATATTTTAATGGCGACAATGTACAATTTATGGGACAAACTTGTTTGAGCTCATATAACATACTTTTGGTGGCCTTTTTATGACTTATATCTTAAGATCACTTTTTATTTTTGAATTTTGACAGTATCTGTGATCTTTGATTCCTACTTTTAACTGGGAATGTGTGCTTATTTTTTTAAATGCTCCAGAAATTAAGTGTTGCTCAACTAGACTATATCAAGGTGATGTAATGTTGAAGTGTGATTCTGATGGATTCTCAAGCTATGGTGTCATATTGATGGTATTATGAGGTGTATTAATTTAGGTAGGGCGAAGTGGAATAGCGCTGAAGGCCTAGGTGTAATATGCACAGCCCACCACTGAGATAACTGATATATCTAGCTGAGATGCATTTAAGGTAAAAATGAAGAACTTTAACATAAAACTTTGTAAAAATTCTTTGACACATGTTTAATCAAACTGCAACGTTAAATATCATTTACAGGAGTAGTGAACCAGTTACACCAACAGTTCAGGTAAGTCACACAGTCAGGTGACAGTCAGTCAGCCAACACCAAAAACGACTCAATAATCAACCACACATAAATCAAAGCTTATCAGGATGAACCCTGTGAAGCAATGTCCATTTATTGGACACAGATTTATAACTCTGAGAGGCAAAAATGAGTGTAATAAGAAGGATTCCCCCCTGCTAACACAGAGTGACTATCACATCAGGAGATCTTTGAGCTGTTAATTCCTCAGTTCTGCCACACTGCATATCTCTGCGTGTTTACCCTCGTCACTTGCAGTTATATCTACAACCCGGTAACCTACGTCTTTAGATCTGCGTGCCACACGCCTGATTAGCGCACAAAAGAGCCGAGCGGGAGATGAATCTTAAGATAGAGATGATGTAAATCTCCTGAAAACAACATGAAATATCTATAACCCTTTTAATCTAGTAATGGGTGGAAACAGGAAATGTAATATGTCAGCAGCAGAAGGTGTTATGGAGGAGTCGCGTTCCTGCACAGAGGCCTGACTAAGCATTTTTATTAAGGCCGCCTACTTCTGAAGATTATCACACGTTATTATAGTTTTTGTAAAACTAACGGCAGACTTTGATCTCATGGTTATGAATGTAGTCAGAGGGAAGGGTTGGAGTCTTATGGCTGAACAGGAATAACTTTGAACAGATATGATAACCCTGTGCTCTATTACAAAGAAGCGCAACACCGGTTTAATGAGCCATTAAAGAGCAGCAACAATCAATCTCAATGTGTGAAAAACATAAAGTAGCTGAAGTTCACATGCCGATATTAACCCAGTAGCATCTTTCATCAACATCGACATCTGTTTGAATGAAAGTTGTCCTGAGAGATGAAGCACTTTCTGTATGTATTGTTTACAGGGTTGATTAGTGATGTCTGGTGTTGCAACAGTCTCCATACTAGGAATGCTGACTTGGTTTAACCTATTTTTCACCTGGCAAGAGGCAAAGAGGTCGAATCTAATCCTAGACAGAGGAAGAATTAATAATTTTATTGAACTAATTGAGTTCAAACTGAATTTTCCGGCAAGTTAACAATGTTACTTTTAACCTCACTAGGTGGGTAAGACGGGACACACACTACGAGATAATCCTGCAGACTTTGGGCCTGATACACAAGTCAGCAAACGCCTGATTATCAGATGGTTTTATGGATGATCTCCTCAGATTATTCTGTGATGTGACGTTAGCTAAGAAGGTTTTTTCTCACCTTCAGTCTGCGCTGAAGATGATCGGCACTGTGTTTAGTATTTACACCTTGATTAAAGGTAGCAACATTAATTACCAATCTTGATATGACTTTCCCTCCTCAGTTTCCAGCTGATTAGCGGTTTCAGAGTCAGTGAAGCACACCCTCAGACAAACCTGATCAATCCACTGCCAAGCCACAAGTCTTGAAAATGGGAATTGCTGCTCTGGTGGACAAATGGCTGAGCCTCGGGCCAAAATTCACAGCGTGACAGCCCGTGACAAATATTTTAGCCGTGGAACAAAACATAAAACATCTCTGATGGCAGGAAGCAGCGTGTGTCATCTGTGTGTAATGTGCGAGCAGGGCTTCAGGAAATAGTTTGTTGTTGTAAAGTCCAGGTATAGAGAATAAAAAACCCACAACAGGGATGTGGATTTCAAGCTATGTGGGCTACAATGGATTACATCTGTGCATGCAGTATACAAAAAAGAAGCCTGCTGAGTGACATTCAAACTGTGTTTTTCCCTGTGAAAATCCTGCAGGAGGTAAAGTTTGAATCATTGAAACCCTGCAGTCGTGTGTTTTTCTCCTTGTTTCTGGGTGTGATCTAATGATTCAAGGAAAAACACCAGCCCATCTTCCACCTGAGGTCTCCGCTCCACCTTTGTGCCTTGGAAAGGTTTTTCCTGCACACACTAGCTAAAAAAAAAAAAACACATGTTGCTGCCACGCAGGAGGGAAACACACTCTTTAATAAGGTGCCAGAACAGCTTTGGCGAGTACTCCGTCTCCTGTGGAAGCTTTATTTGTTGATTCAATGCCAAAGAGAGTGAAACATCCCTGCTAGTGAATAGTGTATGGTATAGTCTAGATAAAGAAAGTTTGTACGGTGTAATGAAAAATGTTGTTGCAGGAGGATTTTGTCCTTTGCCACAAACTGTTTGCAGAATACCAATGCCTTCTGTGCTGCATGGACTGGAATTTAATAAATGGCTTATCAAGTCCAGTGAGATACACAGCATAAAGCGGGAAATATGTATAAGCAAAACAAATATATTATCAGAACCACTTGGCTCGGCTTGAAAAAAGGACAAACACAGCGCTACTAGAAGGGAAAAGAAAAACCTCTGAGGTACAGCGCGCCGACATAATCCCATTTCCAGTTTATTGAAAAAAGGATCAGTAATCATCCTCCCAAAGAATTAATTTCTTTTTTTGACCACACACAATCTCTACAGAGCTATCTCTTTCACAGTTTCTCCGTCTTAATTGTCCTCAGGAGAGACAAATACATCCTCCCATTTTCACTTCACCCTGTGAGCCAAAAAAATGGCCTGAATCTCATGTTGGTCTCCACAGGGGGACTCTATTGTAACTGAGAAAACCGCCTCTGACAGAATCAAGATGTTCCCTTTCTCCCTGACTGTGAATAAAACTGCCGAGAACAGATGACGTGAATAGTGTGTTCCTGCAAAAACGACCTGAAACATCCAACCTGATCACGTGGAAATATGGATGGCAGAATTTAACCGTCTCTTACTGATGTGCTCTGAGGATATAAAGACTGTATTATCTGGAAAAAAAAAACAGATAAAGGCATAGGCTGTGAAGACTATTCAAATCAATCAATCAATTGTGTATTTGACCGTCTTCCTGTACTTGCACCTGTTCTCAACACACACTCCAGTATGCAGGCTTTGCAAGGGACTGACAGTTGGTTGATTTACATTCCAGGACTTAATGAATTGTGAGAACTTAAATCAGCAGCCTGGGACATAATGTAAATGGAGGGAGAGCTTCAGATTATCACTGTAAAATGTGTACTCTACTTCCAGTTAAAGACTGCCACTGAGTGAAGTGAATAATGTCAAAACTTTTAAGAGTTTTAAAGTTCCGTGAATCTATGAAACACAGATGTCACTTTATGAGTAAACGTGTTCAATAGCTGTGATCTTCAAATCAATACAAATAGAAGGTTTTTGGCTGTAATTAAGCAGCCCTACTCCAGGATACCTACCGCCCATCATTCATTTTTGACAGACTAGAAGTGGGTCCAACTCGTGAAGTAACTTCCTTGACATACAATTAAGCAAGAAAAGAAAAAAAAAAACGAGCAATGAACGAGGTCTTTAAAATGCTGTTGAAGACAGGTCTTCTTTGAACACAACCCAAACCCTAATAGAGGGGCCCTTTTAATTGTTTGGCCCCTGGCCCTCAAACAGCCTGAGTGCACCACTGCTATCAAATGCATTGGTTCTGTTCCAACCATAGACTGTATATAGAAAGGACGCCATCTGCCGCCTCGCTGGGTGAAGCCTCTCCGAGAACAGCACCCTCCGGTGACGGGCTGCAGTATAGGTCATAAATCCTGCCTCTTACAGAAATCCCAGTGGAGTTGTGGACAAACTTTAGAAATTTGTTACACAGAACATACATTTATCTCCCCCCTGGTTGTGATGTTGACATGTAGTTACTGTAAGACTGGTTTGTGCTCAAGTCCTATTTTTTTTCTTTCTGTACAGCTCCATTTTTAAAAGTTATTAGGAGGTTCATGTTTTCTATGACTGACACTTGATACAGCCTATGGGCGCATGAAGATTGTGTAGCTCAAGTGGTGGTTCCAGGAAGTGGAGAAAATCCCAGAAATACAGAGAGCAATTTGGCTTCAAATTTGTATCAGGATAGAAGGCGGAGCCAAACCGTCCATAGTATATACAGTCTATGGTTCCAACACAGACAACATGCTGAAATATGTAGATAGAGGCAGTTATAGCATTTAAACTTATGTTTGTGTGTTCAAACATGAGGGAAGCATAAATGAGCCCTCATTACTTTCATTAAAATCAATGAGCCACATTCAAACTCTGTGTTTTTGAATCTAAATTAGACTTTCACTTCACCCTCTAGGATTTCGAAATGAGTTTGTTGTGAATTCATAGAGGTGTGCTTTACACAGCTTTATTTTCCAAGTTGTTGAACTCAAATCTCACTTCTTTCAGGACGGCACCTCTGAGATAACAACTTTTGATTCAGCAGATTATGTTATGGCCTCTGGCTCTTTAATCTTACCTTCAGTTTTCTTTAACAATCAACTTTATTACCTAATTATGTTTTACGCTTTATCTGGTCAGAAGCTGCTGTTTCTGCATCTTCTGCACCGTCTCTGGGACCCTGGATCCACCAGGGAGGCGTGAATATTTTTGTTGAAAGCTGTGGTATTTGCTTTGATGTCATGAGGTGCTTGTTGGCCTTCAAAGACGCGTTGCCATGCAGTCCCCTGTGGTGTGATTTGACAGAGGATGAAAAGCCACAGTTACGATCGTGAGCTGAGAGGGGGAACTGAGAATCTGAAGCTGAACTCCCACAAAGGAAAGGTGCCGAGTGCTGCCATCACTCTGCTCCCCCTTTGCACTCTTGTATATCAATGATGTTCACTGGATCCTTGCCGCATAACAGAGACGCAGAGCAGTCTGTAAACAACATTAGAGAAAGCCGGGGAGCACGCAGGAACAGAGCTCATTCCTGATGACGGATTGGAAATGCTTCGAATCGTAAAAACTTTAACGGCAAGTTAAACTTCAGGGGTTGAAAGAAAGTTTCTGTATGCTCAATAATTGAAAAAGTAGACAGAAGACGACGTGAATTGAACTCTCGTACTCACAGCACAGAATCATTCCCCATTGTGAAAAAAACTTGCTGTAATTTTTCAGACCTGCCCAGAGCGAATCCTTACGCCTCCACAGGCTAAAATGAGCATGGGTGAAAAACTTGGACTAATTACAGGTGATGCACTTTGAACAAAGCGGGGTAAAACTGGGGCTTTTGTGTCTGTGAAGTGTCCATGAAAGTAATCCAGGGTGAGTTTTTCCCGAGAAAGAGATCCTCTCAGCTTGAGTCAGACCTACATCTACTCCGGGTTGCTTTGAGCAGTAATTGCAGCACTCCCACTCTTTATGTAAGACCCCATCAGTGTGAGAAACACAGCTTCGCTTTGTGTGCGGCTATTTTTAAACACCCATCGCAACCTTAATCCATCTTTAGCTGGATACGGGCCGGCTCGGGCACCCGGTAGATTTGAATATTACCATAATGTGCCAGTAATGAAGCTCAGGGGTATTCTGGGGGGGGTTATGGCACAGATGACGATGTCTGTGTCTTAAGGAAAAAAAAAATCTATTCTGGGTACGGATGGAAACTTGCTTCTGTGTTATGAAATCTGATGCGCTCTGACCTTGAGAGTAGTACTCGCCACGCTGGCATGACCTCCGGGTGAGACTGGAGGAGGGGATGGAATAGTTGGAAAGGTCAAGGGGCCTTAAACTCAATAAGAAAAAATCCCGCTGCCAACTCCTCGCACCTCACTTGACCTTAAATGATTGAAGCCGACCAGCGCTGCTGCTTCTTCCTCGGCACAGAGAGTGAAACATTCATCTGTCTTCATTGTTTCCCTCTAAGGCGTTCCTGTTTCCAAAGCATCCAAAGTTTTCATCATCGCGGCAGATATCAAACTGAGCAGGAGCCAATAACCTGTGAGAGGTCGCTGCAGCGACTCTGCATTGCAGCCTCATCAGTTCCACCACGTTAACGCCGCCACTCCTGTTTGGATGACGCGAACAACGGATTTAGTTTTGTCTGGTGAAGACTTTGCATGGTGCTCATCATAGGGAGGAAATATTACTCAGGGGGAAAAAAGCACTTCACCTCTTAGAACTCATCACAGTTAATTTCACAGGTAATAAAGTCTGCTGGATTTACTCCTACGTGGCAATCGATCAGAATGGAAGTAAATGACTTATCGTTAACCTGCTCCAAAGATGTAATCAGAGTATTTCATTTTTCAACTGTCTGTCTGTCTGTCTGCACTGTGGCAAGAAGGATTTCTATGCTGGTTTACAGAGACTGATAATGGTGCGATGGTGTGACTCTTCTATGGAGCCAGATCAGGCTCAAAAGTATTGAAAAAGTAGTGTAAGTGAAAAAATAAAAAGTGAAGTGAAAAAATAAGATTTGAACCTGAAAAAATAAAATGGTACCTGAAAGTCTTGAATTTCGAAATTGAACTTTGAAAAATCCCAGAATGCATAAAAAAATTTGTTCAAATGTAACTTTGATTCTGTTTTTTAATACTTTTGAATAAATTACTTATTTCTATTTTTCACTTCAATGTATATTTTGATCTTTGAGTACTTTTTTTTTTTTCGATTGAATTTTATTTATTTATTTCAGATTCAGATCTTATTTTTACGGATTCAAATTTTTTTTTCTGTTTCAGATTTTTTTTTTTCAGATTCAGATCTTTTTTCAGATTCAACTTGAAAAGTTTCAGGTTGACTTCTGGTAATCTGTGTTAGTGTCTTATGCTACCAATCACTGATTCAATTAATCCACTAAAAAGTGAGCAAGTTTGGCTCCAATGCCAAAATGTTTGAGTCTCATTGGCTAAACATCATGTGGCTGTGTGATGTAACTGCTCTGTAAGTGTAAATAGACAGCTGTGATTTTCTTTATCCTGATGTGAGTTTCAGTTTTGATCAAATATTTGCAAAACTAGGACAGAGTATGAGGGCCACATAAAATAAAAAATAAAAATAAAAAATGAGACTAAGAGATTAAAGTCTTTAATTTACGAGAATAAAGTCATTACCATCAAGAATAAAGTCATAATAAAATAATTACTTACAAGAATAAAGTTGTAATAAAATCATAATGATACTTATGATAATGTGGTGCTGATGTGCCAAAAGATTAAGTATCTCCTTGTAAGTACATTTTAACAAAACACTCCATGGCTTTCATTTCAACATGTCATCTTAAACAGCAGTTCAGTAAAGACGAACTTTATTCTGACTTTAATTTCATTGGTAATGACTTTATTCTTATAAATTAACAACTTTAATCTCAAAGGCTTCATTTTTTTTCTCAATGTGGCCCTAATACATTCAAAAAAAGACTTTTCCTTCTTTCTGTCTTTCTTTCCTTGTTTTTGTGGAAGGGGCTTATCAGGACTCCAAATTCTAAATTTGGGCAGATGAATTTTCATTTTTAACGTAAATGGACATATAATTCGTTCAATTTCAACCATTAACATTCACAATTGATCTCTTAGCTGTCATTGCCTCCCATTAATTTCAAACTGGACATTGATAAATTCCACATCCTCTAAATATCATGTATAGACTAATGGAAGCCGTGTTTAATTATGGACCACCTCCAGAAAATGTTTACGAACACAGAGTTAGAAATTTGTGGATGACTGGTCTGCTAAATCTAAACTGGATATTCTTTTTGGAAACCATGGGACCCACATCACCCACTCTAAGGACGAACAGGACTGCCGGGTTGAGGGTTGCAGGGTTAAGAAGCAAGGATCTGTGATGGTACGGAGATGTTTATGGGAGGGCACCGTAAATGCTGAAGGATATGTACAGGATTTGAAGCTACACATGCTTCCCCAGACAAGAACTCTCTCAGGGGTGATCTTGCATATTTAAGCACAACAGTGTGGCTCAGTAGTACAAGAGTCCAGGTGCTAACAGGCCTACCTGAATACTCTCCGACTTACTGAAAAACCTTAAAAAATTACAAGAAGTTAAAGCAAATGAGACCTAGAACTGCTGAGCAGCTGAAATTCTCCTCAGTTTGGCAGAGTATAAAGTGTTTTTGAAACAAGAGGCCATAAAGCGCGATGGTAAACATGCCCCTGACTGTGCATTTTCAAGCATGTCGCTAAAATCAAGCTTATAACAAAAATTATATAGTATTGATTTAATTGAATATTTTTGCACCATTCACAATCAAATGAGAAATTCAAGTGTTTTTTTACACTCCATTTCTGTTTTTTTATGGCTTTTGATGTTCAAAAGTAGTCTCATTTATCATCGATACGAAACAACCTTTTCCCCTTTTCAGTTTCCAGTTTCAGTATACATAAAAGAAACTTATCACAAAACTTTCTTCTGAAAAACATAAAGTTGTACTTAGAGAGTTCACGACTTTAATTGTTATTGATGAAGGTTGTTCTGAGTTCCTCGCTCCACAGGACTTGTGAAATTAAAGCCAAGGTTGCCGGGCAGCACCAAACCCAGCAGTGGATTTGGTGAGGTATAAAACCAACCAGGATTATTGACAGTGAGCCCTTTATTATGAGTCAGTCACTGCGAGGAGTTTGATCATCTGAACAAAGACCAAACACCTCCAGGTTTCTAAAACTCTACGCTATCTGTATGGGATCCACGTCTCTGCACCCTTTGACTGGAGCTGGCAGATGCTGCATCAAATACTGTAACCTTGGTATTGACCTTCAGGCTTTTGTTTTGAAAATTCCTCCCTCAGAGGTGCTGGAAACGGACAAGCATTTGTTGATGCGGCTGTTTCTTTCAGTGTCGGGGGAGCTGTCTGAGGAAGGTTGGTGTACCAGGGAGGAGGACTAAAGTAATTAAAGATACCCTCAACAGAGCCGGATCTAATTCTGGGTACAGGAGGAGGACTTCAGCCGGAGAGTCCTGTATCGTCAGACTCATTTGACTGGAGAAAGGTCTGGTTGAACCCTCACTGTTCTGCATTAGGGGGGAATAATACATTTTCCCTTTAAAAGCAATCACGTTTTTTTAGGCTCAAAGCTCAGGCTACAGACATGGTCTCCAAAAGTATGTGAACAAGTTGTTAAGATGGAGCATTCGTTTGTGAAGGCAGATAATCTTCATTATGGAGAAATGTGCTGCAAGTGCAGAAAGCTACATCTCCTAAAACACTTGCAACACATTTCAACGGAGTGGAAATACGTTGCAAATGAAAGATGTGCTGCAAAAATCTGAAACAAATGCATGAACAGCAAACATGCTGCTCATACACAAATGATCTACGGTAAAAAATGCACGAAGACAAAAAACTGCAAACAAGCTCCAGCTGAGCAACACGACCTCTTTTTTTTTAGTATTTGCAACAGTATGAAGACACTGTCGGCAATAATCTGTGATAAAATATCACATTCCCATGTCTAACTAGTTAATAAACAGTTCTGAAACACCACAAAGGGGAATCTGCAATAACATGTTTTGTTATTTCAAGGAGGATTATTCCTAAGGATGGACCCTTGAGGAACTCCACAGACCTTTTTGTCAATGCACATTCAAAACAGCCTGTTTGAAAATAAAAGCTTGCATCTTCAAGGAAGTATAAATGGTGAATCAGTGAAAAACAGGGCACACTGAGGAAGCTTATACAGTTATTTCTTAAATGAAAATGTTGCAATCAACAGGCAGATCAAGCAAAAGTAAACACATTCACTTTGAGTCACTTTAGATCTTTGTCGACTGAGATGGGAGCTACATGAAAGCTACTTTATTGACTAAACCCCACTTTGTATTTCATTTTGTGTTGTGATGTAAAAGATATTCATTCACTCTTATACTTTTAAGTGTTCTCAAGTATTTCACTTAGCGGAGGATAATGGAGAAATCTCTTTGTTGTAACTCATCACAAATTGAGCGAGGCTGCTGGTCCACAGGGAGCTGTATTTTTGGTATTCAAACTCCAATAAAAGACACATTGAACATTGTCAGAGCGATAGAATCTAGACAACAGATGTGACTTATTGTGTTGATGTAATTCCTACAGATCTCAGGAGGCAGCAGGTGAGGATGTAGACATATGCTCATGGTGGTAAATTGGTGCTGGGCCAGATGTGCTGCTGTTGGAGTAAATATATTATCGCTAATATGAGACACTTGTTCCCTTGAAGAAAAAAAAACAACAAAATAAAGTGCATCACAAATGTTTTGAAGGGTAGATTTGAAGCACAGAGTATGGACGGCATGACAGAAGAGGTGGGTAGTAGCATGGTAGTATTTTTTAATGCCTGAAACTGGTGTGAGGGGGTGGGTGTCAGCCTCACAGCTAAAAACAACACTAATTTACATTTTCCACATACAATATCCACAATAAATGATTAATACACTAACAAAAAGTTCTTCACAGGTCATTTAAAGATCCACTCCAAATGAAAATCATTTTTTTCTTGTTGTCTGTATGTTCATATGGCATTTTTGTGATGCTACAGGACATATCATGAGAAAGGGAAGTGCAGAATTACATGTCTGAGTATTTCTGCATTCAAATTGCTGTGAATCTCTGGCGGACCCAAACGGTAGGCTCAGACACAGTGAGATTTCCTACATCACACTCCGAGCTCCGCCCCCCAGTGCCACACTCTGCATGCCAGACTTTGAGAAGTAGAGAGGACAATCCCGGAACAAGCCTGTGCGTTAGGGGATTACAATGCTCGTAAGAAAGCTGCCGATGATATTAGCTTTCATCATGCCCCCAAAGACATTACTGTCCGAGAGCTGAATAGCTCCTATGTTACCAGCCACTTCTGCTGCACCGGGTATGTAAGGCTACAAGTTAGCATGAAAAGGAGTGTGCAGAGCAGCGCTGTCTCTGCCCACAACTAAGAGAAGAATTATTATGAGCTACTGGAGCTCTGCTAAAGAAAAGCCCTTGGAAATGACACTGCATAATCACAATTTAAAGACCACTAAGAAGACATTGAATAATAAAAAAAAATGTGATCCCAGTGGGACTTTAATGTAAAATGACAGAACATGGAGAGGTTTCTACCTGACAGGGACAATAAGTAATGTAACACACAGCCAGTGTCTGACAGGGTGCTGGGTCACTTCAGCCTCCCTGTAACAGCTCATTTCGGTTCCCATCTTCACCACCATCTGTGTCAAGTAGCGCTTTTTCACATGCTGTCTGTCTCATCCAGGCAGGTGATACAACCAAGAGAGCCATTGTGACATATATTCCCGTCTGCCTGCTTCTCTGTCTGGTAGAGAGCATAAGGCCACTTTCCATCATGCAGGTGGAGTGGGGAGGGTGAAGGATTTAGCCGAGTGCTCGGAAGATGCACAAAGTGAGATTTATTGCATTCTGCCTGATTATACACAAGCAGGAGGCTTTCATGGGTGCCACACATCTGTAATGTCACCTTTAACAAGACAGATGAAGTTAATTTTCTGTCTTCTCTTGTTGGGTGTCTTTTCTCAAGCCTTTTTATTTAGTGCATGTGAATCTTTGAGGCTTTTCAAAACTAACTGGTGGTAACCTGCATTCCAGCACCACTGATTGAAGTAGGAAGTGTAAGTGGCATGCATATTGTGTTCCCAGTACAAGCAAATTGGTAGTAGATTGGTAGTAGAGAAGCACAAGATCCGTGCTACTTGGTCATGAGGTGTAACGTGTAACATGAATCAAACCAATCCATGAAAGGTCAGCCATTCATCTTTATTTACTTATTTTGCTGCCGGATCAAATGGCTTTACTGTTCAGTTTGTATCTACAGCTGTGGCTGATAGTCAATGGTAGTTAATGTTAGCAGAAATGAGGATTAGTACAGATAGCCCTTAATTAGGATTGACGTTAATTCAAAGTGTGCATGATGGAGAGCTTGGTGGCCTGAGTCTGAGGTATTCTATTCTTCCGGGGAGTTGAAGTGAGTCTAGTTTGTGAGAAAGTGATAATGAGGGTGTCATACTGAGATCAGCACCACACTGTATCATAGTGCATGGAGACTGGGGAGAAATACTTGCATCTTCAGTCCCCCATGAGCTCATATCTGTTCCTAATGCACCATGGGCTTTAGAGGTAGGTAGGTAGGTCGATGTGGTAATGCATCCCGATGCTTCATGTGGCAATTCGGCATCAATTAATTAATGTCGCCGCTTAAAATAAATACATAAATAAGTAATAACATGGATGCTTACCACAAGGCCGGAAAAAAAAAAAAACATGTAACCAAAACCTTATCACGCGTAGGGATGCAACGATTATAGATTTTCACTGTACGATTATAGTATGAGGAATAATCCCGGTTTCACGATTATCACGATTATTATACATAAATTTCACAACACTACTTATACTACTTTATAAAATTACATGAACATTCTTGAGTGTTCTTAATGTGCTATTTATTTGCAGAAAACAGTAATCAAACACCACAGTACAAAATAATAAATAAAGATAAACAAAAAAATCTAACTCTCCTTTGAAAGGGAGAGTAACAAATAAACAGTGTGTTTGTCTGTTTGAAATTAAATAGAAGCTACATATTAGCTGTGTGTTTCCCTTTAAAAAAAAATTGCTCCGTAAACATCTGTTTTCCCTTTAGAATAATACATATGAAGTGATTGATCAACTATATTACAAAATTATTTCGTATTTTCAGTTTGTTATTTTTTCTGCATTTATGGACCTGAGTAGAGTAGCTGCCTTTTGAAACAATAATACTCTAATAGTGAAAATAAAAAGAAACAAGGTCCATATCTTTGGAATTAAATGCAAACCTTTTTGCCTTTTTAACAGAACAAGTACTCAAAGGCTACAGAACCCATCTACATCAGGGCCCTTTTCACAAACAGCACATTTATTTCAAGTCCTTTCAGTTCAAATTATAGTGCAAAAATGTGGAGCATGTTCACATTGTCAGCGCTCAGTCTTGACCGCTGAGGAGACAGGATATGGCCACTTGAACTGAACACCCTTTCTGAAGGCACACTTGTCGCAGGAATACACAGATACTTTTTGGCTACTTTCGAAAGCATTGGCATTTCTTCCGCATGTGCTTTCCACCAATCCAGTGGGTCAGCATCTGCACTGATTGCAGGAAGAGACAAGTACAATTTAACCTCAGAATCAAGTTTTTCGGTGGATGACACTGCACTTCCTGAAGTTCCTGATGCTGCTGACATGTTCTTCCTTGTGGTGATTTGCTTTAACAACCCAGACAGGCTCTTCTCTTTACTTTTGTTTGTGGTGTTGGTGGAAGAGGTGCTCGGTGTTGTCGCTGCTGGAGGCTGTCTTGTGTCTGACTCTGGAGATTCCTGTGCTGCAAGTGTTAGTGCTTCATCACTGCATGCCTTGACTGTGTCATCCAGATTCTCAGCAAAGTTTCCCTTGAACCTGGGATCCACAAAACTGGATATGTTCAGCACATTCTTCATTTCCTCTGTATATCTTAGCTGCATTAGCAGGTCTTCTCTCATTACTTGTTTCATTTGTTTAGTGAGAGTGCTGTCTTCTTCTTGATCACCAAGTATCTCATTGGTGATGTGCTCCAAGATTGGCTTCAGTGAGGAAAGTGTGACTTGTCTCTCTGAGGCCAGGACATCAGTGAAGTCATGGAGAGGGCAAAGGAGCTGGCTAACTTCTTCCAGGACAGCGATGTCATTGTCTTTAGGCATAAGATGCCAGGTGCTTCTGTCGCCTGCTAACACCCCACAGATGGCCGGCTGCTGCTCCAAGAACCTGGAAATCATTTCAAATGTGGATCCCCACCTGGTGACAACATCATGTATCAGTGAATGCCCAGGGATGCTCAATTCTACCTGCTTCTTTTGAAGCGCACGTTTTCTTTTCCAGCTTCGAGAAAACCCTTGTACCAAATGTCGGCATGCTCTGGTAGCAGATTCCACCCTGGAGATCTTGAGGACTTTGGAAATGGCCAAATTTAAATTATGACCAAAACAAGAAAACCAAACACAGGGAAATGTTTCAAAGGCTTTCCTCATGTTACTAGCATTATCTGTTGTAATTCCAGACAGACTTTCTTTCTTTATCTTCCATTCCAGGAGCATGTTTTCCATCATTTCTGTGATATGCTCTGCTGTGTGATCTTCTGGAAAATAAAGAGTCTCAAGACAGTGAGATTTGAGTTTCCAATCGGAGGAGATGTAGTGGACTGTAAAGCTCATAAAGGGTTCCCCTCTACCACCACTGCTGGTCCACAGGTCTGTGGTAGCACCAAAAAACACACCCCCTGACAGCTGTTCCACCACACTCGCTCGTACCTCCTTGTACATGGCTGGGATTTTGTTTGAGGAAAAGTAGCTTCGTGAAGGAACTTTGTATTGTGGCACTGTCTTTTTCATTAGATGGAGAAATCCAGGTTTTTCCACAATCTGAAATGGCATGTCTTTGGAGATGAAATAGGCCACAGCTTCATTCAAATCCTGGGCTTGTTTTGAAGAGGGAGCATAGGTCACAGACTTCGAAAAAGATGCCGCCACAGTAGGTTGTTGAAGTGCAGAACTAGAGGTAGTCTTAAGCTAAAAGTGAATAAGAAAAATTAAAATAGATAAACATGCCATGAACCTTGGATTTGCAGTAATGATTTAAGTTATTTTTAAATGTTTGAAATAAAGTATTTATAAATAAAGTATTAAATGAAGTAAAACATCTCTTATGCCGTGTTAATAATAACTGAAATGCAATTAATTAGATCCCAAGACGGGAAGAAGAAAACTCCATTGACCCCGCCAGATGGTGCCGGAGTCAGGTAAAACATGCCGCTTTGCGGCTGTTTGTTTACATTGAATTTAGAGCTCAACTCTCACTGCTACGCCACTGATTGTATGTGACACGTTTATACTTGACTCCCTACCAACTCAATGTTTCCTTAGGTAACTTGTTCTAAACGTAATTTTACTCGGTCATTGTGTGTTACCTTTACTTCAGCGTGTGAAGTCGGGTGATGATCCCGCAAATGCTGCATTAAATTGGATGTATTCGATCCCTTAGCCGCAACTTTTTTGCGGCAGGCTTTACAAATTGGTGCTCCGTCGTCCTGAAGGACCCCCTGGTCATTTTTAAGATAACCAAAATGCTCCCAAACTCCCGACTTTATTTTTTTTTTTCGGCGGAAAGAGAGCGTCGCTCCCGGGTGCTTCTGCCATCATTAGCTCATTTAGCGTAGCCGCGTTCTTCTTCTTCGTCTTCTTCTTCTTCTTGCGTTGTTTCCAGCAGAGTAGTCACGTGTCTCCTGATCATATGACAGCACGGCACTAAAAGCAGGTGCATCGCTGGTGTAACTTTGTTTTCCTTTCGAGCAGGTTGCGGCAAAATAGCATGTCATCCGTTTTTTGCGAGTGATAACAAACACTCGGTGTTGCGGAGCCTGTGGGATTAATTAACCGTGACGTTTTAAATCGCGGTTAATAGTACTATGGGTTAATCGCTGCATCCCTAATCACGCGCAACGTTTTGACTGTTTAGTGAGTGGGACCACAAAAAAAAGAGCTTGTTTGTTTCTTTGCAAAATGGCAACAGCTTCAGTAGCCTCCATGGAGCAGCCGATTCTCTTGCCACCGAGGTTGACTGCAACTGTGTGGAAGCACTTTGGATTTTATGAGAGAACAAACAAGATGACTGACAGGACCTATGCGATTTGCAAGATTTGCAAAGCAAAAAGAAAGTATCTCAGCAACACCACTAACGTGAAGCAGCACCTGTATGCTTTCACCCCGAAACAGAGAAGGCTTTTAGTTAAGTAGGTCAAAGTCCAAATGTTTACATAAGTCATACAATAAAAATATTTTTGTGTCTTTGAATACAAATCAAATGTTCAAAAAACCTTGTTATTTACTTATTGAGTGTTGTTTTAGAGGAACTGAGTTAATTCATCGGGTATTTATTTACAAATGTAGCCACAGATGAAGGCAAAGTCAATCTTGTATGGAAAAAAGCATTAAAATGGCAATAATCAAAGAATCGTGGCACCAATAATCAAACTGAATCAACAGTCATTATAATTGAAGATTCCAAGCTTCCAAGAATCATGACCCTTGTTGGAACACCCAACAAGGAACACCCCTAATGGGCTCAGACTTTAGGCCAGATTGCAGGCAATATGTGGCGCAAACAAGATAAGCACCATCATTCAGAATCCAACACTTGACACAAGCAATGTACAGCTAACTCTGTTTTTACTGGTTTACCGCCTTGTCCTAGTCCAAAAGCACCAAGTGAGAATCTATTTATTTACCATCTTCAACAGGCGGTCCCCTTCTATCTGGTTACTATTGGGTTATCTCCTCATTGACCTTTTACATCATGTACCAAAACAGTAGACGAACTTTGTATGTCGAACTTTGAAAACACCTTAGTCTTTTTATGACATGGTACCGAGTGCTGATATATCCCAGCCCACCAAAAGCCCTGCTGTGCTCACACAAAAACATTCCCTACATCCCGTATCTGTGTTTAACTGCACAGTCACAAATGAAACACCACTAAAGTTAGATTATGTTGTTTTTTTCCTGCTGAAAGTGGCATTTTACTTGTGAATAATTAATTACACCATTCAGAGCTGTTCATGCTGCATGTCTGTCCTCTTTGTTCATCTGCCACAAAAGCCGCTGAAGTTATAAACTGGTTTTTGCCAGACTTGTAACTCTGTCAAAAGATGTGAGGGGCAGAAATTGGCGATGTAATTGTGTTGGCAGTTGAAAACACTTCATTCATTAACTTGATTAACTTTTTGTTTCGATATTGTTGGAGGGACGGATTGTTTTAATGAAAAGTTTTCAGCAGAAAGGTACGGAAAGCTGTTTCCTGTGCGAGCGGAAATAAAGTCTGTTAAGAGGATCCAATTTAAGGGTAATATAAGGTGTTATTTTCTGAAAGAGGACAATAATTGAACTAATTCTGGCTTCCTGGGAGAGAGCTTTGCTAATAGCAGTCGATAGCTGAGGTGAAGAGGAAGGAAAAGTGTTTTTGTAAACACAGCTGGATTGTTTGCACACTCCAAAGCCCTGAAAATGAGCCAGCATATCCGCCACCATCATGATTGGTCCGTTTGTTTTTGTGTTTATGTCCAAATCTTCTTAGCAGCATCTGCTTTAAAACGGTCTCCCATGACCCCTTGGAAGTACGCCCCCACATCGCCCACTGATTCTGCACCAGTGATGCGTTGTGTGAATAATTTCTGTCTTGCAAAGCAGATGCCGGTGTCTTTAAATATCCTCATTTGTATTCATGTAAGTATTTCCAAAGGAGTGGAAGTCAACCCTCCACCTCAGGGCAAGCGAATGAGTCAATGTTTCTGCTCGACTCCTACTGCAGCAGCAGCAGGAACATCAAGATGGCCTCACAGGCAGTTTTTGTTATCAAGAGCACAGTGGTGTCTAAGTCTTTCCTCTGCCTCTGTCAGTCGTGGCTTTTTGTCCCCGAATCTCTGACAGGCACTGACAGGAAAGGGTAAAAAAGAAACCCCACAGAGCGTGTTAATTTTTTTTTGTTTTAATTATTTTTATGCAAGACAGACAACAAACAACAGCATGTTGATAAGCTTGTGTGTGTTAATTTCTTATAATTGAACACAAACTTGTTTTTGAAAAACAAAATACGGCGTGGGAGTCTGAATATCCTGATTAATGTTTTCCTAAAATTAAAATCTCCAACTCAAGGAGACTCATGGCGGGGGAAAGACTTCACAGAAAGTCCCATTGACTAGTCAAGAGCACTTCCTTTAGGGTTGTTCAGATACATGTAGCCTACTTCACCAATTGGAGCACCATTGGCTGTTCTAGGAGGGTTCGACAGTCAAATCAGAGTGCCTACCCTGTCTCTGATACCAATCATACAAACTAAAAACAACCACAGATGGAATCTGTTTTGTCTGATTGCATTTCTGGTGGTCTTACCCTCATACTTACAAGCGTCTTTTCCACAGGCTGAACAGGACATCTTATTTGTGTACCAGCAATTTCCTTAGACTGAGTATAGATTCATTAACTAACATTCAAGGATGTATAATATGAAATGGATTAAAAGTAATATAAATATAGTTATCAGAGCTGTTAGCTGTTTTATTATGTTTGCCAATGGGGTATCAAGTATGATTCTTAACTCACTTCCCTGATTTTTACTATTTTCTGTCTAGCTGCTCATCAATTAGTGATTATGACCTCAATTTGTCAGAATATTAAAGGGGGTGGTTTCATGGTTTTCCACATTTACAATTAAAAATGCAAAGTTACAGTGTTTAGTGTCTGTACTAGATGTATGCAAAGTTTCAAATCACAAAGTAAATGTATGCTTTCACAAACAGTCCCAGAAAATAGATGTAAACCGCTCAAAATGGTGTGTTGGGAAATGTCTCAATGAGCCTCACTAACTAATGATGTCATCACCATAGTCTCTCCTTACTGGTTCATCTGTGCTCTGGGCCAGCCCCCAGAAAGCACCCACAGAAGTGGCCAATCAGAGGAAAGGAGGCTTGTGAGAGGAGGGGGTTCTTAAAGAGACAGCAGCTAAAACGAAGCAATCCAGACAGAGGCTTAAATAATGATATTTTAATACCCTACTGTGAGAAATTTGAGGCTTATTTTTTTATCTGACTGTCATGTAAATATATTGAGGATGAATCAAAAGGAAGTATAGAGTCTGAAAAAAAAGCATAATACACCCTTTTTATGGTTTACAAGATAAACAGCCTGGAATACAGTAATATTATATGATAACAATGTCCAAGTTTTGGTGGTGTAAGGGATCGTTTGGCTGGACCAAATTTTATGACACTGCATTCAAAGGTTGTTGGGTCAAAACCAATACGGTTGGCTGACGGAGCAACATTTAGACTGAAAGTGTTGCTAGCAATACAGGAAGCATAAATCCATGTTTTGAAGGTTTAGTGTCGTCTCCTTGGCAACACACCAACCAGAGCCAAGCAACAGATCCAATCCCAGTCTACCCAAAAACCTTCACCCGATCCTTTTTACATTCACTTTCTGTTGGCAACATCTCAGCTTCCTGTCTCTGGAGGGAGTGACAGCTTAATCTGTGTTTGATCTAGAGACAAGGAAAGCCCCATCACTCTGCCAACAGAGTGAGCAAATGGAGAGATAACCTTGTAGGCAGGCTGATTGAGATTAAGGCAGACAGTTGCTCTGTGAGTTTAAAAAAAGCTCTTAACAGATTCTTCCCTGTCGAGCTCAGTGACAGGTTAGACTCCTGATACACTTTCATGTTTCTTTGACGGTGATTAGAGAAAGGCTTTCATGTGAAACCAAACACACTGAAGCTGGAATGAAGGAGGAAAAACAAAGTCTCACTGAAAGTCTTATAGATATAAAACCATAAATGAGGTATTACATTGACATTTTAATAAGGAGTGTTTATAATTCAGGCTCCATCAGCAGCAGAAAAATATGTTGTCCATCAAATAAAGCTTTCTTGCAATAAGAGTAAACTGAGCTGTCGGCTTCCCTCTCTTTTATTTGTGCTGCATTAGTAAAATCATGTCTGCCAGCACATTTAATGTCTGAGGCAGTAATTGAAAAGAATTAAAGCCTGCATAAATATGAGGATAGCTACAATGTTTTGTCATTCTGAATAAATTAACACTTTGGACTTTGCTCTCTCATTATTAAATTGCAGCTGTCATAATTCTGCTTTTAGCCAAAATTGAATTATTAAATGACAGGTGAAATACCCTCAAGTGTTAATGAGATCACCTGTCTCACTAACAGGATATAAAAACCTTCTGTCTAGCTTCTGTTTTCACACTTTGTCCTAATGAATAAAAGTGTTTTAAGGTTTTTGGGACAACTCTCTCAAGAATCAAACAGAATTTAGGCTAATTTTATAAAATTAATGAAGGGATCTTAATCCCCTTAAGCAAGATGCAGAAGTTTACTTTCTTGGACTGAAGATAAGTGACAATGAAAATGTATGATTTTAGATTAGTTGACTCTGGTTGAGTCAATTTAAATTCTAATAAAACCCTAATCCCCCCAAAAGATGAGGTACTCAGTCAAACATGGATTAAAAAAAGGGTTTTGGTGGTTAATACATCATTTAAATCCCATATTTAATTGAAAATAGTGCAAAGAAAACAAATCAAATGTTTACACAGAGAAATTAAATTGTTCAGTGGATAATAGAAGTTGTTTTTCTTTTTAAATGTGATGACCAAATAGTTGGATCAAGATTTGAAATACTGATGGTTATTTAAAATGTAATTAAAATCCTGAAGGAAACATGTCCTGACTAAATAGTTAATTTGCAACAGGTTACTAACACTACTGAGTATTAAAACAGCACTACAGAGAGGCTGAATCTGTCAGGATTGAGAAGAGGTTCATTAATCAGTGAGAAACTGTGGGAGCTAACAGTTCAACAATTAAGAAAAGACGCCAAAAAACTGGGGTTAATTAAAAGATTCACAAAATACTGAGAGCTTCTGCGCATAAATGACAGGCCAAAAATGACATAAAGCTTTGCTCATTGGGCCCTCAGGTGATACTGCATTGAAAACAGACATAACGCTGTAGTGGAGGTCACCACATGAGCTCAAAAATAACATCCAAAAACTATTGTCTCTGAACGCAGATGGTCACAGGCCCAAAACCACAGCCATGCATCGCTGTTTGTGAACCCACAAAAGTTTAAAACATTTTTCATCTTTCTCTAGTAGACCTTTTCTTTGTCACAGGTGTTTTGAAAACAGATTCTGGAAAAAATGGAGCTGCGAAGAAAAAAGAGGACTTGAGCAAACCAGTCTTACAGTAACAACATGTCAACATCGCAACCAGGGGAGAAAAAAATGTATATTCTGTGTAATTAATTACTAAAGTTTGTCCATAGCTTCATAGGGATTGCTGGAGGAGGCAGCATTTATGACCTATACTGCAGCCCATCACCAGAGAGTGCTGTTCTCACGGTGGCTTCAAACAGTGACGAGACAACAGGTTAGTAATATGCCTACAGATCAAAGATTCAGGTCATCTCCAGACAAAAGGAACAAGACTGCTTTGCTGTGATCTTCAGGCACTTTTCATTAAAGGCTGACATGACAGTGGAGGTCACTGCATAGGCTCAAAATCACATCCAAACACCACAAACTGCACAAACTGTGCACAGTTTGTTTCTTAATTCACAAATACTGGTTCAGACTGTATTCTTGTAAATCATTGTGAACATGCCCTATTCAGAAAGGTATAAAAACAAGTCATATGGTCATCTAAGTTTTAAATTTTTTTTTATGTATTTCCCATAAACGGTTGAAGTGTCATCTTTGTGCTGTTTTTAAACAATATGTGGTCATGAAATTATCTTCAAAACTTTACCCAGTGTCTTTACTCTTTTGGAGACATATTTCTAAGTCTAAGATAAACAAAAGTGAGAAACAATAAAAGAAAATGCCAGAGTTGATTTCCTCTGAAAGGACAAATAAACAGCTCTGATCGTTGCCTTGTCTGCAAGATGCAAACACTCTGCTCCTGTCTTATCTTCTGTCCACAGGATACTAGTATCATCTGTTAACATGAGCCTCACTCTGGGACCTGTTGCAAATGCTTTAAGCTCAGCCTCGGGACTATTCTGAAGCTGGCTCCAATAGGGCTGTTGTTAGGCAGTGTGGAAATGGGCTTCCCACTTAATTCCACCTGCAGTTCTATTGACACGAAGCTTTGTGTGTGTGTGTGTGTGTGTGTGTGTGTGTGTGTGTGTGTGTGTGTGTGTGTGTGTGTGTGTGTGTGTGTGTGTGAGTATGTGTGAGTGAGTTTGTGCATGTGTTATCACTGGTGGAGGAGGTCTGCACTATTAGAGCTCCTGTAATACGACCAACTGTTTTTTTCATCCCTCTCGTGTAGGTGGGGAAATGGAGAATATGGAGTCCAGTTCATTTCATGCACACCTTATTGTACATTAAGGCACTTGTAACCACTCCCCACTTGCTACCACATACACTTATACAGTGACACACACACACACACACACACACACACACACACACACACACACACACACACACACAAACACACGCTTATCAAGCATAAAAAAAAAGCATTTTGTTTCAATTATAGCTCTGTCAGCCTTCTTGGCCTGAAATTATGGTGCCATTGGTCCAATCCCAGAGGTATCCAGGCCAGTAATTGAAAATCAAGTCTCTGGTTATGCGTGCCAATAGGGCCTGAGCCTCCTGAACCTATACATGCACTCTCACACACAGATGCACTAATGTGCAATTTAGCTTGGCGACAGAGCCCTGTCTCCCAGCTGACAGAGCTGATGTATGAGACACCTTGCACCAATTCCTATCCGTCTGTCAAGAGATGTCTGAGTGGATGAGATGCGGATGCTGTCACCAGAGAGTCTAAATGGAATGATGGGACAATAATGCATTTACCAACAGGGGTGTTTAAATGATCACAGTGTTCGAATTTTAAAACTAAAGAGTTAAATGATATCAGAGGGTGAAATTCATGAACTTTCTAGCCCATTGCAACATAGGGCTCTATTTTCGTGCCTCGCCGGAGACGTGCCGCAAGCGCGGCGTAAGTCAGATCCGCCACGCCGACAAGGCGTTCCTAAGCACAATTTGGTATTTTGGTGAGCAGTGCAGCCCGGCGTAAGTATCACCCCTCCCTAACTCAGCTCCTCCCAGCGGCGTAAATCGTTGCGAGGGAGGAGAAAGGGCGTGGAGTGGATTTAACACAGCCGAGACCTGTTTTCACCAATCACATAAGCTCCTCTCCTTGCCTTTAAATCCGCCACCGGCGAGGCGTATTAGTATTTTCGTGAAGTAGTCAAAGAGATCAAGAGATGTCTAAAGACAGTAATGCCACAAGATGGCGACAGAGGGCAGCTCCTCAACAAGTGTCACTGTAAGCGCTGCATTGGGCATCCTCCACACTCTCTCATATGAGCACAGATGGATTTGGTGTGTGTAATGTTGGACCCACTGGTAAGAAAAACACCCTTTTCCACTAATTAAGACACTTACATAAAGTTGCATACATTCAAACCTCACGTGACAAAGGTGGGTTGAGCGCACAGATCACAACATAAACTCCAAAAATTGCATTAAAATCAGAACCATCTGTGCGTAAATGACGCATCGCGCTCTGTGGCCTGGCTCTTTCTTTCATAGATGTTGGCATATAAAATAAATTTGGCTCACAAGACTGAATATTATAATATCCGTATGTCGGCTTAAAGTAGAGAACGCATCTGATCACTGAAACAAATCATCTGTTTAGCCGCTGCAGCTGCAGCAGCACAGGAAGAAGACACGGAGACGTGTCCAGGTCGAGCTGTGCGAGAAATAAGAGGAAGAGGAAGAAAGAAAAGGAGGGAGACAAATTTCATATCTAGTTCACTTCATCATGTGTGTTTATTTACTAGATATTTGATTTAATTTAATGCGATTTTAGCTGTGTTGATTCGGTCAGGTTGTGTGTCCAAACACGTGTCAAATGCGCTCATCAGATCCGATATAGATCAGAATATATCGATATAGATCTAAATGTATGTGCTGACTCTGATTAATAGTTGATGATGATTATTTATTGCACTGAAATATGCCTGACACTGTGGAAACCTGCCGGTGAGGCATCAGTGACGAATGCAGATACGCCGCCGGTCTACCAAAATACTACTAGACCAGCTGTGCTCCGCCTGCGCTGAAAGCTGACCAGGTTTGAATCGGCGAGCTTTCAGCGCACTTTACACGCCGGTGGTGAGCACAAAAATGTCACTGCGCCCGCTGATTCTGTCGACACCTCCCCCTGCCACGCCACCACGCCCAGCTTGGCGGCTCTCGGTTCGCCTCCGTGCGGCTCAGTCCACGAAAATACCAAACTGGCCTTACACCGGGCTCCGCCAGACGAAAATACAACTGCGCGGGGCTCGCCGCCCTCCGCTGCCTCACGGGCGCACTCGAAAATAGAGCCTATTGAGTCTAATGCTGCGTTCGAGTTACCTCAGAAGTCAGATGTCTGAGCTGAAAATGATGTCACACCCGAGTCCCCAGCATTTCAGTTACCAAGTGAGAAAAAAGCAAAATTGTAGGCAATATGGCTACATCTTCAAAATTATTTTAGTGCTTGCCTTATATTCGGACAAGGCACGCGCATAAATAACTTTCGTAGATGTAGCCATCTTGTTTCAGGCCTCCAATTTAGCTTTTTTCTGACTTGGTAACTGAAACGCTGGAAACTCGGGTGGGACATCATTTTCAGCTCGGACTTGTGACGTCTGAGGTAACTCAAACACACCATAAGTACAGGGAGATAATATGCGGAGTACACTAAGGCTCTCTCCTCAGTCCCACGATCTTCTTCATGTCATAATGTTATGAATATTATCTGTAAAAATGATTGTTTACCTGCTTTGCTGATGAAACAAATGTTTTTCTCTCTAATAAAATTATAATATAGTGGCCAAATGTTAAACTTAAAAAATAAAATAAATAAAAAACACTTACATGCTATTTCTACCCATGCACAGACATAGAACAACCCTTGAGTGAGATGCATTTATTATTAATAAGGCTTTAGCTATCTTCTAAAACAAGCCCACCAGTCTAATCTCATGCTTGGTCATTGGAGGATTTTATGTTCACATGGTTTGCTATATTTTTGGATAAATTTATCATATATGTTCTGTGTAATTTGTGTTTGTTCTGTCTTTCTTTAAACAAGCCTTCTTGGGTTTCGTACCTGTCCTGCATGGTTATTTTAAAGTATTTTTAAAGTTATTGAAAATGTGTTATTCATAATGTTATTGTTGTTATTGTCTTTTAAATGCAAGGTGCAAATTCTCCTTTAGTGCTTTCCATGGTACATATGGAACATTTAGACAACCAGGGGTTATGTTAGACAGTTTTCAAGAAGAGAAACAAACTTGAAAAGCTTACAAAATGGTCTTCAAAATGTTTCTTCGGATAGCGTTTCATTCACTTGACTTACTGTGTAGTGGTGCCCCACGGCATACAGCTGGTGCCCTTTTTGTTTTCATCGCCCCCTGCCCCTCAAACAGCCTGAGTACGCCAACTTCTCAAACTCGTGCTGTGCTGAGCAGATGTAATACTGAACTTGCAAAGTGATTGGGAAAGTTCGTTCTGGGTTCCAAATCTGCCCTCGGTTTGACTCCTACAGAGAAAATACCATCTCGGGAAAATGCAGGTTAGAGGCTTTTCTGCATTTGTTTCACTTATGTAACCAAAATACTGCATCACTTCTCCTCTGCTTTCTTTGATTAAAAGCTGTTAGGTAGAAAAACATAGTCCTCTGATTACTACATTCAAGAAAAAACTTTGAAGACTGTGCAGGTGACTGTATGTCAATATGTTAATGCAACACTGTTTTGCTTGGAGGTCAATATGATCCTGTGTCAGTGTCTTCCTTCTTTAGGCAGCTAAATACCAGACTGCCTCTCAGAGCAGGAAAACTGTATTTTGGCACATGGTATCTATGTTTTTTCCAGATTAAACAACCTAATCAGCCCTGTCACATTAATAATAGCTGCCGTCTGTGCTATCTGGCAGAGGAAGCTGTGACCCCCAGTTCCACTCCCGACAACAACAACACTCAATCTGCTCACTGACAGAGCCTTTAAAGCCTGCCTCCTTCACACCCTGTAAGACATCGCTTACATTGGATCACTAATGCTCTACAGTGGCTGAAAAAGGCTCTGCTGCTGTTGTTAACCGTGCTTTACCTCTGGCTCCGCTTTTCCCTCCACAAACCATCCTATTGCTTCTCCAGTCAATCTGCCACAATAAGTCCAGCTGTAAAGGCCAAACGGCTCACTTTGCCTGTGGAGCAGAGCGGCTCCAGATAGACAGTGCAAGTGGATTTAACAAATTAAAGTTCAAATAAAGTGTTGTCTGTTTACTGCACCTGGAGAAGGATTGTGAATAAAAGAGGGTGTGAGGAAAACTTGGATTCCCAAATAAAATTTCCCAAAACGAAGCTGCAATAAACTGTCTCTGCATTGAAAATAAGGTTTGAAAATAAAGCCCTGGATGGCGCAATGCTTGAGTAAAAAGCATGAAATCTTGCAAAGATTGCTTTCGGAACTGACAATATGACATTTGTCTTTAATCATTGGCTCGTTTGATGGTTGTCAAATCATAAAAAGGGGATAGTGTCAAAGATATGAGGCACAATGGCCTGATCTGTTTTGTTGCATAGACTATGAAGCAGAATGAATCAACCTGACTTCACACATTACCATATTTTGTTTTGTTTTATGTTTTTAAATTTGGCTGTGATCATCTTGGATTCTGGAGACAAAAACTGCACTCTTGTCACTTCATTTCAGTTCGTCGGTTAGTTAGTTGCAGTAGCAAAGAGTCATTGAGGTAATCACGTCCTTTACTGCTATAAATTGCTGTTGAAATTGCCATTCAATATTACAATGGTTGTGTGCTTGGAGGGGGGTATAATCCCAGCCCCAATCCTGATGCTCTTGTGCTTCAAAGTATACTGTGGAAGTGCCTTCTCAAGCACCTTTTTTTGCACCTTTTGTTACATGTTGTTCAGTGAACAATATGTAAAAAGTGCTCTCTACATGCCCTTCGCCATGAATCAATGTAAAAAAGAAAGTGTATTCAAGATGCCCATACAGTGCAGACCCGGCGGCATGGGTGGGCATTGGGGGGGCTGTGCCTGCCCACCGAGTCAACTGTGCCTGCCCTGGACTAAAAGATAAATTTTCTATTTTTCTAGTCATCTTCAAATAATCCCATCTATCTCGACATGTCAATCAATCCAACCAATCCAACTGATCGAAGGTAACGTGTTAGCCAATTACAGGTAAAGGGGGGCGGGCCACTTACCGAGTTTAAGTTCAAATATTCATAGACAGACTTACATGCTGCTTCGTTCTGCTCCTGATGCTCCCTAGCTGCTCCACCTCCTTCCCTAACATGATTTTTTACTCCGGTGTGACTGTTGGTTCAGTGCTTAGGTTCCTAGAAGTGGAGCTGTGTGGCCCTGCTCTCTGAATGCCCCGGTCTCTGTTTTATTTAAAATAAATGAACACAGCACTACAGTCACTTCCTTATTTTGTTTGTTTTATTTCTACATATTTAAAGATGAAATGCCTCTTGCTACTGAGAGAAAATAACATTTCAATACTGATTGGCCAAGGAGCTGCTGTTAAGCCTGAAGCAGATAAAAATCAGGTTTAAATAAGTGTGACCCCCTGAAAAAATGTAATGCCCCCCCCCCTCTCATTTGTTTCTGCAGCCAGGTCTGATACAGTCAATAAAAAGGGGAAAAGTTCAATCTAGATCAATTGCCACTCGAATTAAAACTCTCTCTCTACTTTTAAATCACGTCTTAAAACTCGTTTTTATTCCTTGGCTTTTAGTTCAGCACGGGAGTTGTGTGATCTCTGTCCTTTTATGACTTTTATGGTCCATTTATCACTTCTATTTCTTTTATGTTTTTGTGTTTTTATTTCATGTATTTTATTTCATTTAAAATATTTTTACCTGCTTGGATTGGATAGATGCTCATCTCATGAAGAAAATAAATAAATAGAAAAGGGCCTCTGACTGCCCCTCTGACTTAAAGAACATTTAAAATGTGCTCTCTAGATTCACCTCTAGTGCATAAAATTTTCAAAAAGTGTCTTCTGGATGTTTTTCAAATGAATATAATAAAAATCAGTGCCCTTCTAGTGAAAAAATGGCTTCTTGATGCCCTTGTACAAATCAAATGTAAAAGTGCCCTGAAGATGCCCTTCCAATGAACAAAACATTAAAATGCCTGACATACTTTTCCAGCGGATGAAACATACAAAGTCCTCTTCAAATTCCCTTCCAGTGGATGAAACATTATAAAGTGCCAACAGGATGTCTTTTTTGAGTGAAATTAAAAATCATTTTACATGCTTCCCTGCTGAATAAATAGATAAACAACCTCTTTGATGACTTTTTAATTGTTAAATTAGATTATATTAGATTACTAGGTGGTAAAACAATGAATAAAATCGTAGTTGGGCAAGCGTCATGTAAGGCGTAGCATTAACTTTGTTGTTATTAATGCATTAAAGTCACTTGTTTTGCTCCAGACTCTAATCTAAGGCAGGAACTCTTGCGCATCACTTTTTGCACAAACATTTGGATGTCTCTTCAATCATGGGCTTGTTCAATGGTTGTCATAGCCTTAAAAAAGGGGGAAAGAGACAAATGTTAGAGACACAATGGCGCCTCAAATCAGCCTGAGCCATTTTAAAACACTTTTAACTCTCTGATATTTCTGGCGCTTTGTGCAATCAGAAAAAAGGTGTTACGTCAAAGCTACAGAGACTTGTCATTGAACACCTTTTGGGCGCAGAATCCATTCGGATTTGGCCTCTTCAACTCCAGCGTTCCTATCAAAATCAACCTCCCCAGTGAAAAGCAGTTCCCTGCCAGCCTTATTATGTCAGTAGAAGTGAGTCTTTGCTTGTTACTCAGCTGCAAACTCATGTGAGAGCAAGAGAGGTAGAAAGGTGTGTGTCTGTGTGAGTGTGTGTGCACAACTCCGGGCTCAATTAACGATTTATTTCTGCACCAACTAACAAGGTTTCTGATGAGTCCCAGCTTGTCTTGACCTTTTTTTTCTTTTTCAGCCTATCGTTTCTGTAAGGAAATATGTGCAAAATGGTTTAAATCTCACATTGTATGTATGGAAGGAAAGATGGCAGATGCACTTGAGAAATCACTCTGCAGCATACGTCAGCCACCTCACAGCGTCACCATGCTGGAAGAAAAAAACACCACCAGAACTTCTGCCATCACACACCCTTTGGGACTTGAACAGCCTCCCAAAGGAGCTGCTGGGTAATAATGTGCAGATGTTGCAGGTCCACATCACAAGTGCTCCTGGCATGAATATTCTCAGGATACCAAAAAAGGCAAATTGCTCAGAATAGTTGTCAGCGTGTTCCGGTGCTTGTTGCAGGGATTGGCCTTTATGGTTGACACTAGATTGTGACAGCTTTTCTTTAATCAAAAGCAAATTATCCATGAAATTTGGTTGACTCTTTTGCAGCGGCGGCACAGAGATTTCACAGCTCCAAAAACAGATGGGGGGAAAGATGGAATATTAAACGTTTTTAGACTGGCAGAAACTCAGTGTCTAGACTTAATGGTCCAGTGAAATCAAGCTTCCATGAATGTAATTTCCACCCGGAGACTTTCTGCTTCTAGTTAGAGCCAATGCATCACTGCTGCCATGAAGAGGCAAGAATTGGGATAAAAAGGTGCAAGAAGGGCTTAATATATTCAGTCAAATCAGCTCAATTCTTACTAGGCATATGCATGTGAGACCTCCCCTTTAAATGAGCTGCAAATTTATGTATTTTTATCAGTGGGAATGAAATTGGGGGATCTTTGAGCAGCATTGCGAGGAAAGTGGGTGATTATTTCTGCACATTCTAGTTCATTTATCAAGATCAGAAACGGATTTTGGAGATAACTCCCAACAAGAGGCCGTTTTTGAGCTGGAAATCAATCAAATCTGCAGCCGCGTGCCTCGCACTGGATCTCTGAGCGCTGTCCAAGGTGCTGATCGCGCGTCTGTTTAGTCGAGCTCCACCACTGCCTAACAGACTCCCTTTCTGAGCAGGTTATGAATTAAACACCCATTTATTTTATCTGATAAGCCCCATTCTGACACCAACAGGTTGCATCTCACCTTCAACTTCGTCTTCCGGAAGGTTCACCGGGGCGCTGTAGGAGAGGATGTCCGGAATGGTGCAGATCCCCCGGTACATCAGCGTGGAGGTGACTGGATGCATCGGCATGGCTGCGACCTTTGGGTGCCACCTGCGCCCTTGTCATACAATAAAAAAAAGACTACTAAGAGGAGCCCGAGTTCCCCAAACGGGCACCGAGGGAACAGAGGAGGGAGTCCATGGATGTGGGGGGAGAGAGGTGAGGTGAGAGACGGTGGGAGACGGTGGATTCCGCAGCGTGTCCGCCAAAATCCAGCTTCTTCTTGTCAGTGAAAGAAGAGCAGGAAATGTTGCAGGTGTCTTACCTCATCGCAGTTTGTTTCTATGCTTGGAAAAAACACCCTAATTTAGACACAAAGTCACGAGATTTGACAAAAAAAACTACCTCAGAGCGAGACAGAGCGAACAAATCTGCATCACTGTTCAACCACTGAAGCCCCAAATCAGAGCTAATCACTGCAGCTTGTTGTGCTCTGTAAAAACCGATAAATCGATACACATTTACAGGTGACCAATCCACTGATCATCAGTCTTATTTAGTCCCAGAGTGACTGTCTGCTGCTAACAAATTCAAGCATCCACTTGTTGGATACGTGCGCTCACTTGACGCACTCCGTTCGCAACATCCAGCCACCTTTTTAAAATCCACAGAGAAACGAGGTGTTACACTTCAGGGACAAGAAATAACGTGAAACTTAGTCAGTTCGGCGCGTGTCCGAGTCCTCACAGACAATTATTGCTCTCGTGGTCTTGATTGGTCACGGGTGTGGGTGCGCAGAGCGATCCAGTTGTTCCATCTTCAGTGAGGGAGTGTTTTTGTGAAAGAAGCTCTCTGTGAGGATCTGATATGTAGTCTCTCTCTCTCTCTCTCTCTCTCTCTCTCTCTCTCTCTCTCTCTCTCACCCTCGTCACTCTGGCTCTTGTACATACGTCTGCACATGCACACACTGTGTATGAGTGTAATAACACACCCACCTACCCCTTCCTCCCTCCCTCCCTCTGTGTCTCTCTTTGTTTTCCTTCAATTACTCTCCCTGTGCGCATTCCGGTAACTCCCCAGTGTCAGCCAGAAAACTATAAAGTGTGATTGATGATTGTGTGCTGTAGGTATATGGTTCAGTTCCCACAACTGCTATAGGAACAAGCAATGTAACCTTCCCAAATTACAGACCATAAGTCTAATTATCAGACTCTTATTCTGAATATTAGGTTTTACTGCACTGCTGCTATTTTAGCTGGAAACACCTTTTTAGCAGCTTTTCTCACACAAAACTTGGAATTATGCACACAATTATGATAACTTAAAGCTTGTGTATCATCAATATGACTCCAAGCTGCTCAGCTCTCACTCAAATATTAAGGATATAATTAAGGAAATTATAGTTTTGAAATCTCTGAACACCAGCCTCATGTCTTGCCTGTCCAAACTCAAAAGAAGAACACTTCAGCCTAATGCATCCATGCAGATAAGGGGCATGTATGGGACATATAGACACTCATACATTAGAGAACATATTCATTGATCTGCTCACTCAATGGAAAACCATCAACACTTTTCCTTGTAAGACAGACTTTGCAGATCTCTTTTATTTATTTTTGGACACGCTCTCTCTCACTTCAACTCGCTTTGAACCCAGTAAGACACACTTGTGATGCATTGTGGTCTCTGTTTATCATCTTTGCAGAGCTCTGCATGGTTTTAATCGTATGATGAGTGACCTCATTTGGTGATCTTATTTGCAAAACTCTCAACACATTCTCACTCACTTAAACTAAACAAACAGATTTTGCACCATGATGTTCTTGTGATGCATGCCTGCTCAAAACTGAAAATACTTGTTGCTAATTATGTGATACAATCTAGTTTTAAGAGCACAAGTGAGCCAGAAGTTGACATAAAATATGGATGGAGACAAGTGGAGAGGCAGAGGGGGAAGTGTTTACAAAAGGCAGACAGAACAAGTTGAAGAACAAAAAACATTTTTTTTTTCACACCAGTATATACACTTGGGGCCTGATCTACTGAAGGTTTGCGTGTCCAAAAACACGTGCAAACTTGATAGCACTGAAATACTAGCCGGGTGGACCGAGGATTGCGTCTGTAAAATGAACAAAACAGCACATGCAGATCACCAGAACGCAAAAAAATTCTGGGAGAAGCAGATGCAAATGGAATCATTTAGCACCCGCACTGTAATTTATCAAACCTAAAAAACGATTGCGGTCGCTGTTTTGCGTCTTTATTTAGCACATTTGAAAGCCACATGCAAACTGGCACAGCGTTACGTACTGTCATTGTGGGGAGACAGATGCATAATAGACACCATGATCCTTTTCCAAAAGCTTGTGATTTTTTTCGATTTTCTGGTAAATGAAGGTTTTCATAAATGATACAGTCAAACACTAAACAAACAGAAAAAAATATCGGTTTGTCTTATTGATGTTAAATCGTTTTAATCCCGCTACACACCCACTAATAGCACATGCATTTTTTTTGTTTGCGCATGCAATTTAGCACTCGCTATTTTGGATCTTAGTAGATCAGGCCCTTAATCTTATTTCCTGAACCAAACAGTCTGTGGCAAAAATGTGTTCACTGATTTGGTCAGTCTTAGCAAAACCTGAAACGCTTTTACCTCTTTCGACACACTTTGCAGATCCTTTTTTGCAAAATTGTAGACACACTGTCACTTACTTAAAAAAAGCTTTGAACACTGCTTGCACTGTGACACAGTGGAAACCACATTTGTCAGAAGCTGTGTCGCCTGTTGCCAGTGATGTTTAGACACCAATATAAACCAGTTCAGACAGCTCAGGTCTAATAACTCACTTGTTTCACAATTAGAATAATAAAGTTTTTATTTGTTTTTGTTTTCTGTTGTGTGCTGTTGTGCATAATCTCTGCTCAGTAGTGTTTTTTCTCAGTGTTTCACTCTGAGCACAAAGGACTCTTAAGGTGGCTGATTGATTTTGCAAAGGAAATTAGAGGTTTCCTGAATGTAGTTTCAAAAAGTGGATTTTGTGTTCACAGTTTAGAGGAAAGAGTGCAAGTTTACAATTGAGGAGATCGATTGTTTTGTCAGTTTAGCTAAACACTTTGTTTTGAACAAATATTTTTTTCTTTTTTCCTGTGTTTGTATCTGTGCTCTGATTTTCTTTGCAGAGTTTCTCATCAAGAGTTGCTGGAAATGTGTTTAAAGGGATAATATTATAGTATTGTTGAAGTGGGGTTGTAAGAGTAACATGTCACAAATAGGTGTATTGGCGACAATAGATGCCAGCTGGTTCTGCACCAGGCTAACTAGGATGCAGTTGAGTGTAAACTTTTTGCCATCGGACGCCCATTTGTTTTTGCACTATTTGCAGACATAAAACATGCATGCATACAGCATGATCAGCTAATCAGGTCCATGATGAATGAGTCAGGGACATATTATAAATGTTGATATTTTTGCATCTCAGTTTTGTATGTTGTTAAGCACCAAATGTCAGATCACCCAGCAGTCTCTGTAGAGTTCATCTTTTCAGCTCAGTGCTCCCCTTCAGTGGTGTCTCCTGCTCTCCAGTTTGCAAAGAGGTTTCTCCACTTTCTCCATCTGTGCATCGAATCATCTTTTTTCCTCAGTAAACCTCAGTTTGCAAAGATGTCAACATGTGTTTGCAGTAAATGACATGTCATAGATTGTATTTGGTTGTATTTTTGTCTCTTTGAAGTCTGCAGACCAAACAGCTGATCAGTGCACCTCAGGCGAAGGAGCATGTTGGCCAGTGAACCACGTCAGTGCGATATGTCTGCAAAAAGTGCAAAAACAAATAAAAACGATGAAAATATTCTTCTAAAACATAGATAGGTGCTTGGGTCAAAGTCTCTGAATATTAGCTAGCTTACTTCGCAGACTGGTGCCCATCCACCGAAAGCTGCTTCATAGCTAGCCTGCTAGTTCTGCTGGCAACTTCTTACTGAAGGGGCTGAGCTGATTGGTGTCCACTGTGACTAATTTACGACTGTATGTAGAATGGAAGCCTGGGTGAAGCCTCTGCGAGAACAACACCCTCTGGTGACAGGCTGCACTATAGGTCATAGATCCCACCTCTTCCAGCAATCCCCATTAAGTTGTGGACAAATGTTACAAATTTATTACACAGAATATAAATTTTTCTCCCCCCTGTTTGTGATGTTGACACGTAGTTGCTGTAAGACTGGTTTGTGCTCAAGTCCTCTTTTTCTGTGCAGTTCTATTTTTAAAAGTTATTAGGGGGTTCATGTTTTCTATTATTGACACTTGATACAGCCTATGAGTGTACGAAGATTGCGTAGCTCACCCAGGGGATACACTGTTTGAGCCGAGCATCATCACAGCGACTCTTGGCAGCTCTCCCGCCGAATGAGTACAACGCTAATGTGCAATGGTGGTTCCAGGAAGTGGAGAAAATCCCGGAAATAAATAATTCGGCTTCAAATCTGTATAATGACAGAAGGCAGAGCCAAGTTGTTCATAGTGAATACAGTCTATGGGTGTAACAATGCCACTTCAAAATACTGAAATGTCCCTTAACATTTAAGAAAAACAGCAGTTATCTCTATCAAAGCATCAAAATGTTTATAGCTTACTTTCTTATCTTTTTGATTTCTGCAAGTGTTTACCCTAGATGTAGGAGGGGCTTAAAGGTGACACTTGGAAGATACAGTACATGAATTCCCTACATGCATAGTTGACACCAAACTTGTATGGATACCCTGGCTTTATCTTGGCAAACACAGATTTTTTACAGGTTTATAATATCTGCTGAAGAACTAAATATTAAATGCTTTTGAAACACTTCTAAGGTTGATTTACAGGCTCCGCAGTAATTCTAATATTAATTTTTGGTTTGGCTCTAGTGGGGCTGAAACTCAGCACTCCTGTTTGTGTCACAATAATAACAATAAGACATGCAAAATTAAGCAGTTTTTCTTCTTGGAGTCTTTCTTTTTTTCTTCTTATAACCAACGTTTTGAAGCCAAAACAAGTTAAGTTTGTGAATAAATTTTGGGGAAACAGGAGAAACAAAACACAAACAAAACAAGAACTGTGCTTTCAGTCAATAGACCTCAGAAAGTTAAAAAAGAAAGTTAAAGCTCCTGCAGTCACATTAGAAACTAATAAACTAAGCTAAAGAGGCTGCAAATAATATTTTCTATCAATAATGTACAGATCAGCTGAATATGTACTGAAATGTTGTTTTGGTCAGACCTGCCAGTAAACCTTTAACACCTTTTACGAAACATTTTACCTCATTCGTTGGCTCTCTGGTCTGCAACTTTGCTGTTTAAGGCCACTCTGTCTTCTCTACGTATGTGTGAGCCCAAGACAGTTAGGGTGTTTAAAGAGGCTCAAAAACAAGGCTCTAAAAAAGTTGACTATTGGCTCTATAACTCGAAAAAAGGAATTCAGGGATGCTGTGAATCCTTTAAAAGTCTTAGATAACATTTATAAAACTTGAGGCCTTTTATTTTTGTTTGAAGTAGATCTTAATTCTTTGGTGAAACTGTTACTTTAATTGTTAAGTTTGGCTAAAGTGTATTTTGTACTTCTATTTTTCTTATTCACATGGCTTTTTCTGCTTTCTACTCTCAGTGTATTTTAAGCTTTTATTTTGAAAAGATCATCAACATGGCATCATGTCCAGACTCATCCTGGTTTAAGATGACTTTATTTACTCCAGAGAAAGTCAAATACAGGAGAATAATTGCCCATAATGTATATTTGTCTGACAACTAAGGCAAAATATAATAAATTACGTTGTTATGTCTATATGTCTTTACCATCTGCTGGAAGAATTCACAGGCAACTCTGCAATCTTTTCTCTAGCTTTGAATTAAAATAAACATACGTTTTATCAGCTGAAAAGGTGAAGTGATTGACACTCATGCATTAAGAATTATCGTCAAATAG